TTGCAGTTAGAATTTAATTTGCCTCTTTTTAATCGATTCCAAACTTCAATCATAGATGCTTTTGTGGCAGTCACACAAATATGCAAAAGTCACTTTCAGATCAGTCACAAGAACAACATTAAGACCAACGACGAAAAAGGGAAAGCTGGCTCCTATTTTTCTTTACACTGAATTCCTTTTGCCATTTTTATCTTACTCAATATAGTGTAAATCCAATTTTTTACTACCCTTTTTGGCTGATGATTTTCGACCAAATTTTGCAGGCATCTTTTATATAAAGCTGGTTTGTTTGCCTGCCTGTTCTACTACGTATGTTCTGAATGCAATTTTCATTTCTGAAGCGATCAGTACCAAACTTAGCGTATGACACTTCGCGGACGGGCGGATGTCGTAGGCTAACTTTCGTCATCGATCAGTATCGATTTTTTCTATTTTTCAATCGATTTTTTGCAAAGTTTGGGCTACCTGGCTGGGACTGGCACGAGGGATTGAGTGAGCATGTTGATTACGACTGCGATATCAGCTTTTTAACATTATAGGTTACCATTTTCTCCCACGGTGGTCCGCCGCCTTCGTGGCGTAGAAGTGACTCTGGATGTCGAGCTGCAGTGTACAGCCGAATGCTTTGGTAAAGTCGTTCAAGCGAAGGAGTTCGACATATCCGGTTTCTGCCGGATGCTTAGCTAAGAGCGAACCATGTCATATCCACGGCCGTCTTCCTTTTCTGATCGCCAAACGGCCCCCGCTCCACAAGAGGTTGCGATCGCCCAGCGAAAATTAAGAGTAGGTTTTATTAGTCTGCTCTCGTGAAAGAAATTTCAAATACTCGAACAGCAGAAAAAGAAAACGCTGCACATCTGATCTCGCCCGCGGCGCCGCGTAGTAACGAGACCGATGTCAGGTTGCTCAGGGCGCCATTTGGATTGGACAAAAACGGCACGTCTAGGACAAACGCCATGGGGTATGCCTTAGCTGTGCACCTACAACGCCAGGACAATTTCCACAAACGCCAATCTCCACGCCTTTTCGATGCCGCAGAGTATATCAAGTACCACTCAACGCTTTGCAGGAGACGAAGTCCAGGAAGAAGGGCGTACATAGATGACTGATGAGACCTTCTTCATTCGTGGTACGAAAGTCCCACCACGAGATGATGAAGGCGTTGGCTTTGTGGTCCGCCCATCTATCGTGCATCTTGTAGATTCGCCTAAGGTCCCACGTTCGACTGGCCATCCTACGACTACGACCTCCACGTCGGAAGATTATCAGCATCATCAACTGCTACTCGCCAACATCAGTAGCTGACGACTCAGAACTAGATGCTTTCGACGAAGATGTGGAGGAGGTCGTCCGCAACGAGATCCTTCTACAATTTTGTGGGCGACGGAGATCGGAATGCTAGTAGAAGAGGAATAAATAATAGAGGAGTTCGGATACGTGCTCCAAAATGAAAACAAAAAACGTCCAATCGGGCTTCTCTGCCTAATTGGGCAATTTCCGTTTTTATCCTGGAGCCCATATCCAAACTTTCCTATTCTACACTCCTCTTCTACTACTCCTATTCTCCTCTTCTATTCCGATCTTCTCTCCGCCGCACAACTTCTCCATGAAAACTCTGTCTTTACGAAGAGAACACCGTTGGGACTTGAAAATCGGCTAACGGTACGACGTACGACCCATGTCTCTTCACTGAAAACAAATAAGCTTTTCAGATTTTCCAAGACAATCCCATATTCTAGGGTGCGCCGTTCAGTTGGCCGTTTTCAACTTATCTTTACTGCATTTTCACCCACAAAAAATCGGTTACTTCATTCATCCATTTCACATGTATTACTTTGAGCTGATTAAGCGATAAACCCATTTGCACACTATTGGATACCTGGCCTCGCTCGATATCTGTCAGCACGTCATGAGAGAACCACCATTCCATTAGATTTCCATAAAACGTTTCGTTTTTCTCGTTTCATTTCTATATTTCAAGTCTCTGCTTCCGTTTTTCGTAATCAGCATAAAGTTTGCAAAAGATAAGATAAACTCAATATCATCGTTAACAATGGGTAGCCCAGAAATGGAGCTTTTCATTTCACATACGTACGCACAGAGGCATACATGCAGAAAAGAGACACTCGCTTCATATATATAATTCGCTAAAAATCCTTTATTACATTATCGGATGTGGCACAAAGTCAAAAAGGTGTGGCTGTCACACCTTTGCTGGGTGTACACACCTCATTAACTTACCTTCGAAGCATTTGAACGCCAATACTTTACATAACTAAATCTGCTGATTCTCCTTCTCAATAGATATTACTTCCAAGATTGTTTTCTTAGGAGAAAGAGAAAGGTTCACTGTCCTCGAAACGCTTTGAGAAATGATGCGCCGAACACACTCTACTTCATTAAAAGCTACTGAATACTGCAAGCCTATTACAGTGACTTGCGGAGGTCAGTTACAATTCAGTGCTTTTATGCTCTCAGATAATGTGGTACCAACATACGGCCCGGGGAAGGTAGAAGGCTTGATTAGGCAGGAAGCAATCAAATCTTTGCCCGACCTGGTGTCATAGCAGCGCCTCATACCACTACGCCTCTCGTCCCCATCTTACATCTTCTTGTTAGAAGAAGATATAGCGGTATTGCGTCACGGTAAAATGTTTAGTCTCCGCTACTACTTAGCGAATGAGGGCGGCAAGAAATGTATACAATGTTCTACAGCCTATACGCTAAGTTTTACTAGGTCGTTTCATAAGTTCGTAGAGTTTTGATAAATCAACGAAATGACAAAAGTTCAGCAAAATTCAGTCAAAAATGTTTGTTCCGTTGTTGCGCGCAACCTTCTGCCACCATGCCATCAGATTTTCACTTCCGTTTTTCCAAAACTCAGCTGATCTGGTTCCAAAAAGTCGTCTAATCAGCGCCTGAGATCGTCTTCGAAATTAAAACAGACGCCGTTTGTACGAATTGTGATAGACTGGAACAGATGATAATATGGTAAACTGAGATCTCAGGAGTACATTGGTACTAATATACCTCCCGGTCAAGTCTTCAGGACAACTATGACGACTATTGACGAAGAGGGCCAGATCTTGTCGCACAAAAAAGCTCACTGGACTTGTTTAATAGGCCTTTTCTGCAGTAGAAATTCGTTTAGACTGTACCATCAGGCTGTTTACGTTACGGGCGACCGCATTTTTCTTGTCTAGCAATTTTCAGTACAGAAGCTCTTGCACAACCTGCAAAAAGTCTTGTTCAGCGAACACCTTGAAAACTCTTTGTTTTTCAAAGCATTCCATTTCTTTTTTGTCTCATATTGACGAGGAAACGTTGCCGTCCGAAATCGGCAAGAAACTTGCGCAAAAGCTTTTTTTTACAAGAAAAAAATTAGCAAGTGTCGCAAGTACTTTTTTTGCCTTTTGAGAAATCATTCTTTGAAAGCTGGAAAACCAAAGCATATCAGCTTTTCATCGAAAGTAACTAATTTGTTTTGAAGAACATAATCAGCTCTTCTCAATGAAATACGCATCTTGCGCAAATCGACCGCCCTTCAGAGAAACGAGAACGGAAATGAAAATTTTACGAACTTATGAAACGACTTAATACATAAGCTCGAGTCATTTGTAACTTAATATGTGAGATTGCACATTAAGCCCTATAAGCGACTGCACCCATACTAGTAACTTCCCAGCAAAACAATTTCTACCCTGAAAATTGTAGAAATGTGTTCTACTGACTAACATATAACCAACTAAAACAATAGAAACAAGGAAACAAGGAGAAATCACTGAAAATAAGCAGTTCTAATTTCGCAGTTCGTCAGTTAGCGTGTACAGTGTGCATTCCGCATATTAAGTTTAAAATGACTCGGCGATAAGCGATTTGAGCCTTTGTTTGTCCTCGGGAAGGTGCTGTGAATTGTCTGAGCAGGAAGCGTTCATTAATGTTTTTTTTCACTTTTTGATGCAGTTTCTCAAAGCGTCATTTACGCTGGGTTACGAGATCGTCGTCCCCAGAAAAATGGAGCTTTGCCATGTCATCCTGTTTGTGGCCAAGTCAACCTATTTGTGGACCATCATGAAGAGAAGAGGTCGTACTGGGACCATTTACCATTGACGAACCGGGGGAGAGAAGCAGAGGGAGGGGGGGGGGAGAGGGAATAAGAAGGCTGCCGCCCAAGAACAAGTTCAAAAATGACTTACAAGAATAGTAAAGGGATTTCTTTCATTTGTTGATAAACAATATAGTTTTCAAAATTCCTAAAAACATGAATAGTTCTGGAAAAAAGTTTGTTCGGAAGGGTGCCGCCCTCTTCTGCTAAACTTTGAAGGTCTTATGATCGCTAAAGTTTTGAAACGAATCGCAAGCCAATCTGCCTTAATCACGACCCTTTCAAAAAAAAAAAATTCTGTTGATCAAAAAAGTTTCTTGGATCACTACTGAATACACTGCCCACATTTTCACTGAATACATATCTACGCATATAACGCAGTTTGCACGAACGCGAGGAAAACATTAGCTAATAGCGATATGATTTTTGCAAACTTACGGCTTCCAACTCTTCCCAGCTCACGCTTCTCACTTGGAGACACATCCCCTTCGAAACAAAATGCAGTGAAAACCACCAACGAAGCTGCTATACGAGCATAAGATCGCCCCTCTCAAATGATCAGCTCGATGTGCAACTCGAGCAGTGCACAGCTGCTCGTGGATGTTTATTCGCTTGTGCACTGCTACTTATGCCACCAATAAACACGAACTTCACGGACATTTATAGGAAGTGCACAAAAAGATAGAGCAATCGACAAATCATCTAAAAAATGCGATCTCAAAAAGAAAGACAATTTATTGCCACTGGGACATGCTTAGAAAGGAGATCATCCACCCGTAACTGGTCCATAAACATATTGAGCATTTTCAAAGAGGTACTAGACTCACATCAATTCTCACTAGAAACATGGTGGTCCTTAATGGAACAAAAATACAAACATCCAAGCATTTCAGCGCTAAACATAATGAGAACGGATGGGCAGTTGGGGCATTGGCGGTGGCAGTGGAGGTTCATGCCAAGATTCACGTCGTGGCGGCGATTCTTTGTTTGTTGTTTCATCGTTCTGTAAAAATATTGAGAAAATGAGTTTCAAAAAAGAAAAAGAAAAGAATGCATATAGTCTGGTAGATCTGGCGTGTTATGTGCTCCTTCTTGTTTATAGCGCTTGCATCTAGAGATTGCCAAAAGTTCTCACAAGGCTAATTTGGTTGGAAAATTTTGGAAATCATTTTAATTATTTGGAAGTAAAAAAGAGATCGTTACGTAATTTTTCAAGTTATTTAGAGGTGAGCTACTGACCGCCGCTTACGCGCACTTGTTTTCTGTTAGGATACATTACGATGAGATTATAGAATCTGATCGATAAATCAATAATTTTGCTTACTCTATCTTGATGACTCTGTAAACGTACACTGTCCCATTCTCCCCTCTCTGAACTCTCGACTTTCTCGTCCAACACCGGTTTTCCACTTCTTCGAAGAAATATTAACCACAGGGCTTCAGTCACCTGCAAACCTGCAATCATCTGCGTCCAATTTGTAAGAAAAAGGTGAACGAACCTTGGCGCAAGTAAGATTGCCAGCATGACTAGCAATCATTTGTAGGAGAAAAACTCCGTCAGGTCGGAGAAAACGGTCGGTAAATCTTCCGATTTGGTCTGATTCCATGTCGAGGTGCTTAGCGACGAAGTTCTGTCGACAATGTGCGGAAGCAAGCGCACAAAGCCAGAATAGCAGGTTTAGAGCAGTTATGAGTCCGAGCACCTTAAATAGTATGTAGGCAACCTCCAAGGAACAAAACATAAATACTACTCATTTTTTCAATTTTTTCTATCTCAATGTAGAAAATGGCAAATTTCTTTGGAAATTTTGCAAACACTGTTGAGGAGAGAACATAAAATTACATTAGTTTTTTTTTTGAATTTGCTAATTTGGAGGAGGAAAGGTGATTAAACTGCCTGCCATTTCGCTTCTACAGCACGCTTAGATCTTCAGGACAAAAAATAAAAAGCCTTTTTTTGAAAAAACGAAAGACTAAAGAAAATTCTTTGATAGAAGAATCCTATTTTTAGTACCATATACTTGTTAGAGAGATTGACATCTGTACAGATTCCAAATGCTTAGAATCTCTCATTCATTTTTAACGATCTTAAGTCACAAGAAAACGTTAAAAAGTGCAGTCTCTTATGATTGAGTAATTTTTTCAACCTCGTTAGATGGTAAATGGAATATTTATGTGCAGACTATCTTCAAAAAAATATTTTCCACCATTGGTATTCTGAACAGATGAACAACGCACCTAGCTTTAGAACAGTTATAATGCTGAATACATTTGATTAGACAGAGAATATTTGACCAATCTATTTTTATAGAACCTCTCGTCTAAGTCAAAACGAAAATTCAGAATTCACTATTCTCATATTCACGAAAACTTGCATCTATCATGATGCAGTAAAACTCGTTGAGAAACTCTTTTCCTAAGGTTTAAGAATGTCTCGAATGATTTTTCGATCTCGTATGTGTAAAAAAAATTAACTTACCGACAACCAGATCCACAAGAATATAAATATTTTCTCGGTGAGCATATTTACCACTAACACGCATTGCACGGTGTGTCGATGCACATTTCCTAATACCTATAAGTGGAAAAAATTTAGCGTGAAAAGTTTCTTCTCAATAGTCGATACTTACCCTAATTTCAAAGTCGCATAGTGTTACACGTGGAAATTTCCCAGAATCTTTCCATTCGCGACCCTAAAAACAAATATAAATGGATAAAACAAATGTTCAACTAAGAAAACCCTGTTTAACCTCAATCATGTTCTTATACGGTTTAACCTCCCTCCCTTTTCATTCCACCCCCCCCCCCCCTCCCGCTTCCCTTGATTCGATCAACGTAGGACTTGCTGCTTAGCGTGTGGAATTCCAGAAAGCTTAATTCGCCTGAAGAATTTATAAGCAAATGCGTCCGCGAGTGGCCAAGCTCAATTCCGGTGTTGCCTAAAACTTGTTTACAAAAAGTGTAGCATGGGAACAGTAATAAATACTTGCAAAAATACTGCAATGGATCTAATTGTCCCCTAGGGATGGAATACTACCCTTTGCTAACAATAATGTGAATTATAATTACTACTAAGTAGATCCTCGTGTGTTCTTTAGGAAGATGGTCAAGTAACCAAAGAGGAGCAGATTTCATCGGTACATTTAGACCCAGTTCCCCCGCCTTCGCTCCCAAAGTTGAGTTTGTTTACTCAAAACTTAGTTACCCTAATTTCACGCGTATAAGGCGCACTTTTTGGAATTTTCAAGGAAGCAGCTCAGCCGCTTTACTGTATTCCGGAAAGAGATCCTTACATCGCTCGATTCTCTCAAGCAATATACAGCACGTTATAGGGTCCTTTGGTTATAAAGTCCTTTGGCTGGTCTGGGCTGGTCGGTTTTGGAAAAAAATCCCCCGCGCCTTATACGCGTGAAATTAGGATAGTTTTTGCTACGCGAACTCGTAGCAAGAAGAAAAATACCCCATTTAAAAATGTCTAAGCAAAACCCCTATACTTCCCACAACAAAATGCATTCGAAAATTTGAAATATTATCAGAAATGATTCTGATGCCCTACTGGGGAGGGGGAGAAGGGGGGAGGGGGGAGAGGAGGTAAAAGCGAAGTTTTCATGAGCTGCAATTTGAATTTTGTATTTACATACAGGGCTCTTAGTTCTGCTCTGCTTTTAGATTCGACGTATTATTACTTTACAGTGCGAGCGAAAATTTTAGGCCCCTTATTCAATAATTTAAGTAATGTGAATCGTTATTCAAGTAATTCAAATAGTGAATCGCTTCACCCTTGGAGTCATTGGGCCTCTCCAGCATTCCAGCTAGGTTGGGTTATGGTTATCATACCTGGGCCAATATGGACCTGCCTTATAAGCTGCCGGATCGCTTTTAAGAGTAACTAAAGATCGTTCCGCTGGCAACAAGGGGGCATGCGTCCCATCTCCATGGATTCAAAGTTTTGGAGTTATAAATCTCAGTGCCTACATCTGCATACTTATCTATTAGCCTATCAACATATTCAGTGCAAGCTGTTTCATCTTCTCACATTAGTCTGATTAGGATCAGACTCGGACTGAAATGACGATGTCTGCATTCGTTTACATTTCTTGTTCGTTTCCGCTGTATTACTAATTTCTTGATGTGTCTTTTTTCATGGAACGCCTTGAACTTAAGAATGAAATGAAATGAAATATTTTTGCCTATTAGGAGACTAAAACCACCTTTGATTTGGAAGAATCTTATGGCTTATCTTTGACTGTCTTGATTTTGCGGCTTAACTCATCCCGAGTCAGTAGCCATCAATCGATTTATTGATTTTTGGAAGCTGCTTTGCCACTTAATAAAAAGAGTTGTTCGCTCTCATATTTCATGGGAATAATGCGACTTCTCTGCTCCTGACCGTGCGATTTTGTATCCGCCTCAAGCGAAACTCGAGTTTTTTTGTTCAACTAGATTTTAGGATTACTGGTTTTCCAAATAATATAATCATTCCAACTTCCAACAGTGCAGTCCTTACGCAAGCCCCCCCCCCCAATACTGCATGTGCTCGTTAAAGTTTCATTCATTGCTGGAGTACTAAAGTGAATAAGATTTGAATCAAGATAACTTACCAGTAACAAATCGTATAAGACGTGAGCTCCAAATAGTGGATACTCGGCTGTTTCGAGAAACGAGTTCAACATCAAAAATTGAATGACCACATTGAAGAGATGCAACGATTTGATGAATACATATACTGTAGATACATACGCACCATAGAATTTACCTGAAAGCAGTCTACTAGTTACTCGGTTTTATGTCCACACATAACAGTGGCAGATTCGAGGCTAGTAATAGCAATGCGGTCCTGAGAAGATTTGTGAGGCAGAAATGATTATGATGTAAAATCTTGACAAGCGTCATCTATGGTATTTTTCAAACGCACCTTACTTAACCCACTGACGACGACGCCTAACTTTGCGAAGCGGCACTGTAGGACGACGCGATTTTGCGCAATACTTTCGGTGTGGGAAAGTTTCGTGGTTTTACGTAATGCAAGGTTTCTTTGCAAACGACTGTGAACAATTTCTCGAACGACGGAGCCCACAAGTCTCAAGAGTGCAAAAAATCGGAAAAAAATATTGATATGTGGAAAAAATAGTAGACCTACAAATAATATGACTTGCAAGAGGTGTGGACCAACGCTGCTCTACAGCGTCCCACAACAAAAAATGTGTGGGTCACCGGTGGCCCACATCGTCATCAATGGGTTAAGGTGAAATCTACCTGGCTCTATGTTCAATTTGACAAGCCTGTATTTCCAGAGTAATTCCTTCAACCCATGCTTGAGCTACTAACACTGGCTAACGAAAAATTTGCTAATTCAAGTCTTAACAAAAATACATATTGGGTCGTTACATAAATTTTAGTTACATTCGACGAAAATATCTTCAAGCTCCCCAAAAATATTTTTTCACTTCCACATTATAAGAAGGGTTGTGAATTTTTGATATTAAGCAGCGCAGGCAAGATCCATCCACCCAGATTAGCACATAGTTGTAAAGAGGGGCTCATGAGTATCCGATCTGCGTTGGTCCAATCCTTTGACGTGCCCTCTAAAAGGAGATACGGGCCTGTGATACGTATCACAAGCCGCCCCTTCGTATCACAAACCACCCCTGAGGACAAGTGCTTACGCAGGTGTGCGGTTGCATTGCAGTTGCTTTTCAGTTGCACTGCACACTGTAATGCAACTGCATCCGTGCAGTTGCAGCTCCTCCCACTGGCATGACGATGGGGACGAGCAATTCGAAACTCGTCCGCTCCTTGAAGGGAGGGTCCCCAAAAACCGGGTTTTTTGGGAGTTTTGAACAATTTGGACTTTACAACTGTAATCAGGGCCTCGGAAAGGCCCCAGAATGGCAGAAACATGAGAGGAGAAATTTTGCCCGGACGCTGCCTTTAAGCACTTGTTACACCCCAATTTTTTAATTTATTTTTGCAAATTGATTCCGGCAAATTTCCAAGCTGCATTAGTTCTTAGACTACGAAACTGCTTTTATTTCACTATTCGTACTGATACCGGGGAAGGGAGTAAACCAAGGAAGAAAAAGTAAGAGAGATTCTTTGGAATTAAAAATGGCTGAAATGGCGTTGAAGAATTGCATTTACATTTATCGTCAATTATGTCCATGAAGGCTAAAATGATGTCAAAGGATATGTAGCCCTTCATTCTTTACCCATATACGGGAGTTTGCTTTTCGTTTTCTAAAGGAGAACAAAGAAAGCGTAACAAAACTTGTTAAAGGCAGCATACACCCAAAATTTCACCTCCGATGTTTTTGTCATTCTGGGCCTTTCCGTCCCGCTGATTACAGTTATGTCATTGAAATCCTTCAAAAGTCCCCAAAAACTCCAATTTCCGGAGGCCCTCTCTTCAGGGGCGGACGAGTTTCGAACTGCTCGTCCTCGTCGGCAAGCCAGTAGCTGCAACAGCATGACAGCCTGCAGCTGCAACTACAACTGCTGCATATGCTGAGGCGCACCGCAAAAAGCAACTGCACTGCTGCAACTGCAGTTGCAGATGCAACAGCATTGCAACAGCAACTGCAACGGCAACTGAAGCTAACGCTGTCGTGGATTCGTCCGGAGGAGGCGGAGTGAAAGAAAAGGGGCGGAGTGAAAGAAAATTGAGGGGAGTTTTCTCCGCTCAGAAGCAACATTGGGACACCGGACCAACGCAGTTGGTCTTCTTCTGGGCCCAGCATATACATGGTATAGAAGGATCTAGGAATTTCGGTAACTTAGATTTTGGGTGTACGCTGCCTTTAACGACCTATTATAAGCAATGTATGGCGAATCCATTTCTCATCTGTAACAATTTTTAATTAACCCAAAGGCAATTGAAAATGTGTGAGTACCATTTCTGGACCATACAAAAAAATTGTTAGGTTTTTTTGTCGCAGTGTGCTCATCACGAAAAATTGTCGAACGAATTCTCTCATGTAAGTTCGAAAAGCAGTAGGACATTATTAAAGTGATACATCGTGAAGCGAAGTTAAACAACGCATAAAATCACTCACCTACTCTTACCACCGCGAAGATATACACATTCTTTTTTCTAGCACCATGTTCTCTCTGATACATGAGAGCATCGTCTGAAAAAGAAAATATTTTGGAGAATTTATTTATATGCAAGGTAATTTTCAAGAGATTTTACTAAAGGTAACAAATCAAGCTGTAATCCTAGAAGGAGTGCTTTTGCATGATTGCTCACGGAATGAAAATTGATTAATTGGAAATGAGATGGGATTCTTATCTTCAAGCACAATATTTTTGTGATATAACCCAGCCAAATTAACCCAGCCAAATTCTCTCCACAATCTAGTACCCTGCCTCCAACAGATTTATAACTCCTGACGAACTCCTTCACTGATCTGAATTATTTAGGGTGCATGTGTTGATACGGCGAAGCGATTGCTGTTAATTATTGAAGAGGTGGAAGATGGAGGATATTTGAGGTACACAAATCTGATATCATGGGATCGCTGATTAACAATTCGACTAAGGGATAATCACACCTAATAATTAAAAAAACATGAAGACGGCTGCAAAAATCTACAAGTTTACTCGAGATTTGAGCATGGGGCAAAACTGAGATTTTGGTTTGAATTAGGAATAAATTTGAAGGAAGCAGTTCTTATCTTCGTAATTATTAGGTTGTTGCAAAAATAATGTCCGTTTTTCTAGACCTACATTCCAAACAACTTTTTTCCCATCAGATTTTCTATTTCGACATAGCATCTGCATATCATTTAAAAGCTCTCTTCATGTACTTTCTCATGGCGGTGAAATTAAGCAGTTGTGAGAATTTCACCAGCATTTTCCACATCCGCACTCAAAATCAGAATCTCATAGCTTCCACTTTCTTGACCACAGTTCAGGAGAAAATTAACGAATTCTTCTGAAAACATAGCAGGTGTATTAAATGAAGATTGTTTACCTACTGCGTGCTTATGTAGATTTTTGGAGATATGTGGACTGAGAAATTGATGCGTCGAAATAGACACTCGCTGCTGGCATTCTATGAGTCAGAAATTTCTCATAATTAAAGGCAGCGTCCACCCAGAATATGGCCCCCCATGTTTTCGTCATTCTGGGGTCTTTCCGTGGCCCTGATTACATTTCCGAACTTCAAACTCTCTAAAATTCACAAAAAACCCGATTTTTGGGGACCAATTCTTGAGGGCGCGGACGAGTTTTGAATTGCTCTTCCCCGTCGGTAGGCCAGCGGGAAGGAGCTGCAACTGCATGGGTGCAGTTGCATTGCAGTGTGCAGTGTGCAGCTTCTGCTCATTACCTTGTCAATACTTGTTGGGAGTCACGTATTGACAAGGTAGTGAGCAGTCCCTGATGGGCGGAGTCTGATATCAGACTCCGCCCAGCCAGGGACTTTCAGGCCCCTTATCTCCATTCAGAGACAACGTTAGAAGACCGGACCAACGCAGATGCCCCTTTTCTGGGGCCTACATTCAGGATCGACACTAATCGGAGGGGGTTAGGTTTAGCCTGGACACTGCCTTTAAGGCAATCGCCAAAGCTTCGCCCATTTCTCTAAGCTTGAAATTAGCACACCTTAACCACATTATTTTAAGAGAAACTTAGCTATTCAGTGCGCGAAGAAATCCAAATTTTCATAATTAGGCACTTACAAGCCTACAACAAATAGGCTCAAAAGAGTGAACATTTTTTAATTTTTACCTTTTCTTTTCGCAGAACTCCTTCGTTGGGGTTTTTTTTTACACACACCTATACTATTGGCCTGCGGCTACAAAATAAGCTAATTAGCAGACATAGGGACAAAGCTTGAAGGGAGTTGTAAGCTCTTGAAGACGAAGTTTTCAAGAGAAAAACTTTCAGTTTTCTGACGCACGGTTTTCTTCCCGTTTGCGATATCAGTATGGGCAGGGGCGCGCTAAGTTAAGAAAGGTTTGATGTTTCTAATAGTCTTGACTGCATTCAAAAATATGGAGACTGAACGAAGTTATAGCCTTCCAAAGTGAAAATTTGCAAAACGGACATTATTTTTGCAACAACCTAATATTTATCCTGACAAAAATTTCGTGATTGCGCACAAAAATGAATTATTTTTGGTAATAAATGTAACGCATGCAGAACTTTTTTCTAACCGGCATGGCACAACACCATTCTTCCTTCTTTGTGATTGTAAAAAATGGGAGATAATCTCTAGTTTCGTTTACGAAGTTCTGAAAGCGAAATTCGAGTTAACGGAATAAGCTAATGAGTTTCGAAAACAAACTTTCGGTCAGCCTGACCTTTAGTCAAAAAAAAACCAAAGCTTTAGCCTTACACAAGTTACTGAATTCTGCTACACCCTTTTTCACGTGAAAAATGGTGATGACAGAAAAAAACGAAAAATCTTGTAAAAATTAGCAGAAATTATAGAGTTACCTATATGTCTTGCAAGCACATCAATAGTTTTGTTACGGACCAATGGATCAACATTTTGCTCTTGACACGCCAACTGAAGCACCAACGCTGCGTTGAGACCTAAGAATTTTTTTTTTGAAAGAGAGGTTTTCAGAGAAACTAGAAAGTTTTGAAAGAATGCATATTGAAAATGTGAAAAACCAAAAATTGATTTGCACATATGATGATTTACTTCAGGAATAACCTTTGATCCAACTGGCTAGGTGGTTGGAAGGCGGGACTTTGTGACGTAATTAAGGCTGTTCGCTCCCGCTACGCAGTTTGCGTCTCTATCGCGCGTGCTCTCTGATCATTATCTAGCCACAATTAGGTCACAAAGTCCCGCCTTCCAGCCGCCAAGCCAGTTGAATCAAAGGGTGCATATGAATAATTCGTTCGTACCGCTTTGACTAGATAGCATTCGCCATACAGACGATGGAATGTGGAACATCAGAGCGGCCACAGCAAGCACAAACGGTACCCATTGATAGTAACCAATTTGACGTCGTTCTCGATCGTCTAGCCGATGGGGAATTAGATCCTAAAACAAAGATGATGTTTACCAGTATAGGCAAATTGAAGGTACAGTATAAAGAAATTGTTCAAGTTACTTCTTTTATCACAAAGCAAAAGGAAGATAACAGGAGATTTCTAGAGTTTCGGAATGGATGCGTGACATCACCATATTTGAGTGCTTTCAAAGGATCCTCTTCATCAAGTACTTTACCTTCCACTGGGATTCGATCAAATTTTTTTCAAGCGTAATCGAATACAAATCGATTACATTAGTTTGAAAGTCAAAATCAACACTTCCAGAAACGGGAAATTTTATGTAATCAAATGTTGTGCTACCCGCTGTCAAGTTTGGAAGCAGCTCAAAAAATGTTCAAAAAAAGTACAACAGAAAGTTTTTTTGCGTACTTGCTTCATAAAATTCTCCTTTCCCATAACTTGTCAAGAAAGCTGAAAGTGAAACAAGAGATCATTGTAATACAAAGTGGAAAATGACTCATTGAAGTATTACCGACTAAATCCTATTTGAGCTATGGGGAAAGATCCAGGAAACAGAATAATTTTTTCTTTGAGATACTTGTTTTTTGAAAAGTTGCGTTTAGTCATTTCTGCTGACTTTCTAAAACTTTATTGCAATGTTCATTCTATCATAAAGGGTTGATTATACAACCTTCCCCAAAAGCTTGCAGCAATGTATCACTACGCCATAGCTTGGATGCTCACTTATAAATTTTCTTCTTGTTTATTACGGGTATAAATTACGTATAGAGCGTAAGACATGAAACCAACATCTGTCATAGTGCACAAAAAGTATAGCAGCGATGTTGCTGACATGTGTTTTCTACTGCAGTGATTGCTAGACATCATCTTTTTTGCAATAGCACTCGTCCACACTCGCAAACTCAAAAGTTGTGCAATTACACAAAGCGATAGCTCAGATGAGAAAGTTACGTTTATGGTTGAAAAAATTTTGACTTTATCCACCACCTCAAACAACGTTGATCAATGAGGAGTAAGAAAGCTACCAATGATAATTCGCACAAAATATGCGTACTTTAATATACTTATGGACCTATATTCTATAATTCATTGCCGGATGAAGGCAGTTGTCCAAATAGGTTGCCGCGCGCTCGGACGGTTGCGCGTGCACCACTGCGCCTTATAGCTTGGGAACCACTGAACAGGGGCACCAAGAAAGCTACTCCATTGGCATAGTTCTAAGCCCCGAAACCGGCTGAGTGTAAAAGTGTTTGAAAAATTCATACTAATCAATTAAAGCTTTAACAACTAATGTATTTAGTACTCTTTCATTCTTCAGTTCCCTTCTAGAGTTTTCATATGCCTCTCTATAGATCAAACCCATCTAGCTAAGAATATCGCACGTTCGACAATAGACTTGCTACGGATTATAAAAAGCTTTTTTTCGTTTTGTAATTTGTTTTGCGATTGCAGGGCAATACAAACTTTACACGGAAGAACTATTTTCAAAGATTTGCTTACTCTTATCAATGCTTAAGTCTTACAATGTGTTTTTATATATGGGAATTCACAAGAGACCTATGCTGAAGTGCAATCAAGCCATAATTGGCAATATAACTGCATTTTTCAGCAGTCAACAACAAAACAATGCAAAATGCATACTGCCGTCTTCCAAAAAAAAATTTTTTTTTCTGCAGAAGACAAGATAGTGAAAAAAATATTGATCTAGAATTTCGCATAAAAGCGAAACAATAAAGCCAAGAATTAGGCTATAGAGCATTTACCTGAAATGGTATCCAGTAAGTATTTTGGACCCAGCAATAGTTCTCCGTGTATTGCTCCATTGCTCGAGTAAATTGTGCCGGCACGAAGCATTCTATAGGATGTCCCACTGGAAAAAATAATGGTTGTAAGATTGAACTTTTTTTTGATTCTATAATTATTTCCCACCAAGTAGTAATTGTTTACAAAAATGAACTGTTTTGAACTGGCAATGAATATAACGCACGCATAATTTTTTTTTTTGAATTTAGCATGATATACTATTATATTTCTTTCCTTGTGAGTGTAGAAAATGGGAGAACTTACTCCAGATAATGAAAGTAATACCAAAGTGAACTCTACAACTTTTATTGCAAAGATGCTTTGTAGTGCAGTTATAGCTCATCTTTGTGGAGCTACATACCAGTCCCCTCCCCTTTCCCCTCTTCCCGGGTAGGCATGAATCATTTACGAAATTCTGAAAGTGATAGAGCTATCATAGAATTAAGTTCCGAAAATAACCAATTTCGCAAAACTTCTTCCTGTCTGAGGCTCACATATTCCCCAAAAGTTTTGTTTGGTTAACCAATGTTCTTCCCATAAAGAGATTTTTCCTGCTCAGCCTTTACGAATAAAGTTCTGCAAATGTAGATGGCGAACATAAGTGTATATTGATCAGTTCTAGAAATGTACGACTTCAGTGCTACTTCTAGAATAAAGGACTCATTCATAGTTCTATTTACACGTTTATTCATTCATTCATTCATTCATTCATTCATTCATTCATTCATTCATCCTTTGATATCTTCTTATCTCTGGATGATTTATAAAATGGAAGGAATGTAAGCAAGCAGCTGGTCACACAAATAAAGTATTTTCTCTGATTTTTACTCAACTCTGGCAAAGTGCATTTTTTCACTACCCTATGCATCAGCATATCATTTTGAATTCTGCATCCAACTAGTAAATAGAAGTACAATGCACCAAAAGTTGAATGGTGTGCCGAGTTCGAGTTCGTAGCAACTCATCCGTTAGCAAGTCAGTTAGTCAGTTTAACAACTCGAGTGGATTGTTTGTACTTTTATTGCAGTGATACATACTGACTGGCTATTATCAAGGGAGTTGTGAGACTTTTTTGTGCTCCTCCCACTGAAATATGCACCACTATTTCAACTAAAAATTTCAGCTTCAAGAAATGCTCAAAAGTTTCTGGAAGGGATACGGCCCTTGATGACATTGATGAGCGTAGACATAAATGGAAGCATCCAAGTTTCTTTTCTGGACCATTTCAGCAGTAAGTCATAATAAAAGGTAATCCGCGCATTTCTTATCAAACTGAGTTAAACATGCAAAAAAGGAGACTGGATGGAAGTTTGAATTTGACGTCTTGCCGAGATGTTAATTATTATCATTATTATTTACCTTATGAGGGTACCAATTCTATTGGGAACTGCTAATGCTATTTGTGACGCTTGGTTGTTGGTTGTAGTAAAAAAAATTGTAAGAAAGCATTGGAAGAATTGTTCTAATAAGACTCTAATTTTCAGCTTAGATTTAAGCTTATTTCTTCTTACCTATAGGTAGATCTCGAAATTTCCAAATTTTGAGGAAAATGCTTTCCATTTTGATTAGACAATGATTTATGCCATACCTTTACATTTCTATGTATTCTAGCCAAGAAACTTTTCGAAAAAAATGATCCAAAATTATTCCTAAGCTACTCATTCAGTTTCTACACGATGCTCCTGAGTTTTGCGAAAATTTCTAAGTTTTCCAATATCTCTCAACCATTTCTGAGACACCAAAACCATGGAAACCTGCCATGAGAGAGGTATTGAACACATTCCAGAAAATCATGCAAGTGGAAAATCAATGGAAGAGGCACAGAAATTGAAAAAAAAAATTGGGGAATGCTTATATTGCTGACTATGTGCATTAGCGGCATCGATGATTATGCTAGCCTTCTTAACCCGCTAGGTATCAAAAAAAATTTTGAATTTTCAAGCAAAGATTCTAGAAATTTTCAGAATCAAGAAAATGTGTGACATGAGCCATCCGCCATCTTTCCAACATAGACCATGGACCATTTCTATAACAATCATAGCTACTGACCACAGCAAAGTTTGGTGATGGCTTTTTTTCATGCATCGGTATGAAACAAGTCAAAAAATTAGATTTGAACTCAGAATTATCCTACACAATAGCGTCATCTTGAATGTGGCATTTATCAATGCTTATTCTTCTTTTCCACTATCATGTTCTCATTTCTCTCCAATTCTATAAGACGATTATCAGAAAAACTACATCACACTACTGGAAAATCCGTTTATCTTTTCTCGAAATAAATGCCCGCGCCTTCTCTAAGACTCCTAGTAAAGAATGTCCTTAAAGTATGAAGTTTCGTCTAATAAAGGGGGGGGGGGGGTCACGATGTCGAAGTGGCCGATCGCCACAAGTTGCATACCATTAAAGAGAAATTTGAGCGCTGGTTCCAAAACTGCCTTTCTTATCTGCAGAGCGCTGCCGCTGCTTCATTTAAGGCCTATAGAGGCTGTAGCAACAGATTTTATCCAGTTATTAGTTCATTTTGAGACTTCAAAAAATGCTTGTAAATTTCCTGTTGCAGTTGGCAATATCCCTTTTCAGGGCTCGGCACGAGGTGGCTTTTAAAAAAGCAGAAAACGAAGTCCCTCTTGAGTTTCGAGAATCTCTAACCCTAAATGTAAAAAAAAACCATCAAAAAACGAACTGTCGACTAGAAAAAAAACTTCGCAATTTTTGCATCTTTTCGGCCTCAAAAACGATGCGCTCTTGGCCTCTGTCCCAAAAACGATATTTAGCTTGCCACCTGTGCCAAGCCCTATTTCTTTTCCAAGCTTTGGGTAGCAAAAATCTCGAAACAGCTGTTCGACCACGATTTTCTGTCGATTTACATATATCCGATCGGGCGCTGCTGTCCATTGCTGCTCAATATCTCTTATCAGCCGCTCATCGAGACGCGTTTGTTGTTACACAAAAAGCATGAAGTGGAAAAAGTGACGGACATCGTAATATGCGAGCTCCCGACATCGAATGCATTGATTTCGAAAGCTTCTACCTCTATATTGAGGGTTGTTTTCAGCTGTTGTTGGATCAGTGGCGCGGTAACACCGGAAGACAACGTATTGAACATGCACACTTCTATTTACACCAAAAGAAAAAGTTTTTCTATAGCTAATTGTCGAGTTGTGGAAGTTTGGAGCGGAAATTGTATTTGTGAAGTTATGAGGCGCGAGTGACTACTAGAAAACGTGCACTTTTGGGGGCGAAGCTAGAAGTCGGAAGGTTTGTGCAGTGAGGCAATAAAATTGAGATACGACAATTTGCAGCCTGACCTAGAGCCAAAAAATATAAAGCTTTAGCTTTGCACAAGAAATTATTGAGGTTTACATGCACGATTTGCTGCGAAAAATACATGGTGCCAAAAAATGTAGATTTGTAGGAGCGTTGAATGATGCTGTGCTAACTCATTTCATTTTTTCATTTCCAAAAAATTCCTGCAAATTCATTCAATATAGAATCTGATTTACCAGCTTCAAAGGAAAGGACGAGTTTAATAGTACATATAACCAATTTTGAATAAACTTCGGACTCTGCGACGATTTTGGTCACGATAGATGCTTGCGACGTAAAAATCTGCCAAAATTTTTCCAACATTTTCGACGCACTGCTGAAAGAGAAATTTTTCCTGTATAAGAAAAATCGATTGAATTAAAATACATTTTTTGCACATATCTATTATGTTCGCATAAACAAAATCGTATCTGGACCACAGAACTTTTCGAAGTATTTTTCTCGAGAAACCGTCGCAAACCCTTAATCCCAAATTTTTGTGGTCGCGCTGAAACCGGAAATTTTTACACACAGACCTTTAATTCAAATGGCTTGGCGGTTGGAAGGCGGGCCTTCGTGACTTAATTAAGGCTGAATAATGATCAGAGAGCACGCGGACGAGGGAGACGCAGACTGTGTCGCGGGCGCAAGCAGCCCTAATTAGGTCTCAAAGCCCCGCCTTCCAGCCGCCAAGCCACTTGAATCAAAGGTTGTTTCTGAAGTAAATCATCATTCTCCGCATAAATCAGTTCCTTCGTCAATCTTTCCAATTTGAAAAAAATCTCCATTATTCATATGCACCTGATTTCTCCATTTTTCAAACGTCTCATTTTCCTCCTTGAGCGAGCATTTGACTAAAAGTCAGAAAAGCGTATTTCCATCTCCATAGCTATGACAAAGAACAGTTTTTCAAGAAGGAAATGATGGAGGGTTTCTCGAGATTTTGTGGAAACAGGGGAACGAACGATTAGAGCCTGGAAAAGGGATGGAAAAATTAGCAAAGCAGAGCGAAATGGCAAAACTCCTTTTTTTCATTGCTCTTAGTGAAGGTTTTGCATTTCAGTTATTTTTTATAGGAAAGAGTATTGGTTTTCGAAGAATATAAATGTTATTTGCATACAAATCCTATTATATATGACCCATAGTAAGATTGTCCAAAAAAAGGGCTGCCCATTCTCTCAATCGGACTCATTCCACATACGGAAAGTACATGGAAATGCCGCGTTTTTACGTACACTGCGTGACGGGGTAAACGACTGGTTATTTTACCCACTCCTTACCCTCGTTTCCAACTTACCATATTGTTTTGCCGACACTAGTACGGCAAACATCAGCACCAATGTTGAAGTGTAGAGATAATGCAGCCGATCGACAAAATCGTCATCCACCCTAAAATGGTTTTTTATTTAGTTTTCTGCTGTAATCCAATCTAAAAGCGTGAGAACTTGCGGATAGAGTGTCCAGCTACTCTTTTTCTGTTGGGATTTTGAGTGTTTTACGGTGGATTTGACACACGAAGGTAATTGAATTTTAAAAAATTTTGTTCTTGTGATTGTAGTCCCCTCACATTACTAGTTCAAGGTTTTTTCTCTATGATAATAAGGAAAAATTGTGTTGCTCAGAGATCGTACACATATTTAGATTTCTAGAGGAAAAAAAGGCGCCTCATAATTAACTTTGTTGTTGTGATTGAGACCTCAGTTTTCAGATTCATTTCGTGTGAAAAAAACACCTGGACACCAAGCAAATCTTATATCTCGTAAAAAGAGAAGAATAGTGCTTAAAAATTGCTCTACAATCAGAAAGCTTTCAGCAGAGGTTCACAAATAAGTTTTAGTTTTTTTTTGCAAGTTTGTACCATTGTAAAAAATCGTATAGCATTGAACTGAGTAACAAATTTGTAATGTGTTGGGTTGCGTTCTATCTCATTATAAGACCAAGATCGTTGTAATTGATTTGATTTCAACCAGCTCTGCAACCAGTAATAATCTCTCGTCTTCTTGTATGTCCAAAAAAGGTCAATTTCCGAATGGTTTAGATGGAAGCACAATAGAAAGCTTTTGAAGGGTGCAAGTAAATTCTATTGCATTGTTCTGAGAACGTTTACAGAATTTGGAGTTATGCATTGTGATGTAGAAGTTGCTTTAAGGTCCGCTAGATATCACACTAGGAAATGAATGCATTTTAAAACTTAAGAAAATAAGATATGAAAAAAGAATGTAAATCACAGAGAGCAATCTCTTTCAAAAATAATCTACTTTATTAGGTAAAAACCATAAATGTTGAGCAGCTGTGTATTGATCACTTTCTTAATTGGTTTACAATTTCGTTCAATGACTCTATATAAAAATTTGCAAAAGATAAGTGGTGCACTTTCATTCTTTTCCATGTTTCTAAATTCAGAAAGAACAAGTGCTCCCTTAATAAGCTTGAGATGTCTCTTTGGAATACCGAAAAAAATGAGTGAAAGGTAATTATGAATCGAATCAATCAAGAAGAATTTTGTTTTTTATAAAGTTCCATCTAATGAGGCGAATCTCTAGAGGACGACATAAAATCCAAAATCAGCCTAATCATTTTTGCAACGAGCTCTACTGCAGACAGCAGGGGTTAAAACACCCTACGGTACCCTACAGTAATCTCTCGCTGTCCTACAGTTTCCCTACAAAAGCTTCACACACTTTAACACATGCAAAAAACCGAAGAAACACTGCACTGCACTACACTCCCTAGTTACCTTGGCTCTAGGAATCGTAGAGCTGAAGCGAGAAAATGCATTCCTATACGGTATCCTCCAACCATTGCGTTGCTGTCTGCTCGGGGAATGTGTGATATTGTGGGCGGGGCGGGGCGGGGGCCCCCTAGCAAAAGGGGCGGGCGAGAGCGCAGAGAGACGGGGGTCGACGGGCACGGGGGGCGAGACAGCAGCTGTGCAGAGACGCAGAACCGGCCGGCAATGGACAACTCGGTGCCCGCAAAGGAGGACGACGAGCTGCGTCGGAAAGAAGATGTAGCATGGGCTGAAGCTGGTTCATCGTTGAGGAGAATACGACGGTAAGCCCCATCTGCATTTTCCCCTTCCTCCTCCTTCCCCCTGTCTTTTTTCCCCTCAATTTTCCCCATAAAATTCGCTTTATTGCTGAGCAAAACGTGCAGCCGGCGTCTCTGGCCATGGCACTTTTTGCACCCATAAAAGAAGTGCGCCTTTCGGCCAAGCTTACACGAGGAACGTCGACAAAACCCATTATTCATGTACGACCACATCTGTTCAGCCCATTGTTTTCTTTTTTATGGCCAACGATTGAGCTAGAACCACCGAATCGATCCCACTAGCTACTATGCAAATATCAAGCTTCTTCCTGCAATAAAAATTTATTTTTTTAGAGGACAGCTCAAATCGTCGAATTATGTTTCAATTAAGGAAGGAAAATACATCAGCTATTATGGCAATAGACTTTGCAGTTTTATACCGAATAGCATAAAATCGGGTGCGTTTTTTTTTTGTTTCAAAATTTTCTTCCGCATCTTTCACATGTCAATTTTCCTTTGAAAATGTGCATGGTTTCAGTATTTTCTTAAAATTATCTCTTTTTCGTGTTTTCGTGTTCTAGGTCCTCTACACTCTAATCATAAAACTCCCCTAATCGCATTTCTTTATTTGCAAAGGGCTGCATCATCACTTTATTGGATTAGCAAGTGCATCGGAAAAATCGGAAAATATATTCTTACTGGTGTTCTCAGGTGAAAAACCATTGGGTCATATTTCCATTTTGTTTACTTGGTACCACATTATTTTTTATACGAAGTGCATTTGCAAGCGAGCAAAAATTTGCATGAGTTCTAGCTTCACCTGTTCTAATGGAGGATTGAGGAAAAATTGAACAAAAATTATTCCTTATTAGGAAAAATGAAACGGTGTTGCGGTTTATAATTCTCAATAATTTAATAATTAATAACGGTTAATAATTCTCATTTGATATTTTTTGCTTATGAAAGATAGTGGGCCATAATTTTCGATTTATTATTGGTACAAGCTCAAGCGCGGCAAATCAACTTCAAGAAAAGACGTACTTTATATATTTTTTACTTTTTATTATATACATCCCATTTTCAATTTTCAACTCTGATCTCATAAAAATCATTCAATCTATTCATACTCCAGAACGTTGAGAGAAATCTTCAACAGATAAACTACGGTTCTTATTTTTTTATTCCTTCAAGAATTTCTTGACTGCTAAAATTCTTAGGTAAATATACCGAGATTGACAACACGTACAACGACTCTCGTATCACACAAACATTGTTCTGGCTTCACAGTCAATAATGTGCAGTGTAAAAATCTGGTGTGAATCATTTGCAAAAGAAAATTGAGGCTATAAAAACTTTTCGAGCGTCTTAGCTTTTTTGTAAATCATATGATAATCGCTGAGTCATTTGAGTGGGTTGGAAATAGATTTTCACGGAAAGATAGGCAAAAAGCCGGAAAAGTTGCGGATCATAGAATTTGTTTGATTTCACAATAGTTTTCTCGTTTTTTTACACTCTGAAAGTTGTGAAAAATTCTTCTTGTAGATCCGCACAAACAGTGAATCACCAATCTTCCTTTCCATCTTCCTCTCATCCATCTTTATGGAATGAAACTTTCGTTGACATTTTCAAACAGTTGCGCAAGTATGGTTGTCTGTAAAAAAGTGTCTTTTGAATTTAGAAGTAAATCAAAACTGGTATTTCTCACGCGATAGGGCACGAACAAGGACATAAATTCACGCTGTACTTTCAAAAATTTTACAGCATACAAATTTATACATATCAAAGAAGCTCAGATTGCTAGGGGGTAGTTTAACATTGACAAATTAGACTTTTCTTCTACATTCTGGCCAAAAATAAGAAGCATTTGCACTATATTTGTGTTTGTCTACTTTGTGTACGGGTGAAAATGAGTTTTTATTTTTCAGAGTGCGTACGAGTTTTTGAATGTTTTTAAATCTTGACTTCAAACCTTGAGAGTCATAAATTTTGCGGATGTGTAAATCATCATACAGAGTTTATACTGTATTGTCAAATGGTTGCCTTTATGCTTCTATGAGTGTTTTTGAAGGTAGTAGGCCGAAAATCGCAATATTTTTTAGGACAACTCAAAATTTTCTTTAATTAAAGAAAAATACATTAATACATGCGTTTACACTATTTAAACGGCTGTATCTCTAGTGACTTACATTTTATGGACCTTTCTGCATTTTTGGTAAAGAATAGTAGAGATCGCAGAAAGTATACTTTGGCCAGTCTTCAGATATAAGTCTGTAGATGAAGACATATCCAGAATAAACGAAACATTGCTTACCTGTTTATTTACTTTTTCTGCAAAATTTCTAATAATTTTGCAATAAAAACAATTTTGATACTTTCCTTGAATCTTCTCCTGAATTAAATGTAGCTGCTCTGTTGATTTTTTGCTATATAAATTTGATATGACTGTACACTCGTCTGCTTCCTAAAAACTGTCACCTTTCCAACATATGCTCCGATTTCACCTATGACAGGATATGACTCAACACAAAATTCATGTGCCTGCCTTTTTATGAGGAGCAAATTTATGATCATCTGTTCTCCAGGAATGAAAACAATTTTCAAAGAGAAAATGAGCGCCGTTTTACGTATGTGAAATTTGCGATGTTTTACTAGGAAAAAGGCAATAGAGTTAGGGAGATAATTTCAAGGTCAATTTTTGTGCGAGCAGTATTTCCTAACTTTCTTCCCAATCGAATGTCCTCTTTGAAGTGCCATTGACAGGATAAGTGTTAACCATTTATAGCTGTTTGTTTTCTTTGTTTACGGCTTTTCTTGTCGAGTGTTGTTGTCTTGAGAGCAGCCAGAAGTAAACAAGAACGGAAAAAAATTGATCTGAAAGTAGTTATTGCTAAAGTGCTCGATCATTATATGGTCGCGATAACCACTAATTGACACCTTCTTTTCTGTTTTCTTTTTTTTATGTTTGTCGATTTCAAAATCTACGAAATTTTCCATTTTCGATATAATGGAAGAATGTTTTTTACAATGGGGTAAATCGTATTGCTCGAGACACTGAAAGGTTTCCATGGTTCTCCAGTTTTTTTTCTGGCTATGAGGCAGGCGCCATGAGCGCGGCATTCTTTTCACATTTCAGTCTGTTTGGCAAAAAGACAAAAGATGATTGCGAATGCGATTTGAAGCTGCTCCCAAGTATAGAATCATCCTCAATTGTCATTTTTTACATCTTGTTCGCCGAAACCAAGAGGGTTCTGACAAAAGAACCCCTGCGTAATTTTTTTCGGGAATGTCAACACGGGTATTCTTTCCTTTGTCAATAAAGTTCATTGACCAAGTGATTCGCTTACGCGCATACTTTGCCTAGGGTTGCGAAGGTCGAGAAACTGGTTTAGTAAGTTGTTACGCCTCACAATCGCGTAAAAAGCAAAATGGTATGGCTGAGTACAAGGGTAATCAAAATCACAAGGGCAGAATACAATCGATCAGAGCGAGTATTTGTTTGATGCACTTGCGCTGTATAGATGTTATGAGTCACTGTCGGCGCTGAGATCCTGCTTCTGAATTGCCGCACTTTCCTTTCGGACTTTGGAAAGTGCAGTGGTAGTTTCTAGTAAATAATGATCGGTGATAAGAAAAAGTATGCATTACGGGAAAGTTGCTTCACAAGTATGTAACGTAACAAATTGTGATCTGCGAATTTCATTAACATTTCCATTTACGTTGAAAAAAGAGTAAATTCTCGACCTCGTTTATAGGTTAAGGACAACGCGAATTTTTGCTGTCCGCCCTTTGGGACAATGCCTCCCACAAATATGTTGAAAATTTTTAGCTAAAATCACGCCGGTTGTCATCTCAGTATGTCTATTGTCTACAGTAATTCTAAGAAGCAGCCCAGAAAAACGGAAGCATTTGCTAAAGCAAATTTCTGAAACGAATATATCCCACAAGAGTAATTGTTTAAACGACTTGAGCCATGACCCACCGTGTGGATCACATTGTCCTACCTGGCAGATTGCGTGACTCACCCTGTGGGTCATGTTGTCGTCAATGTTAACGAAACGTTGCACTCTTGGAATGCGCAAAATTATACTTAGCGAATTATAGGTTCTAGGATCAAAGAATCTTCTTTCGTATTGCTTTCGCTTCGATTCATTTATGGCCATTGTCATTATAAAAGGCATTGTACATGTTTTAGACCGGCATGGCAGAGAAGCCTAGAAAATATGAGAGAATCGAAACCAAACAGTTCTTTGTCATAAAAACATCGTCCTTGCTTTTGGAAAGAAAAAGTACGAATAAAGACTCCGAAGAGATCTTTTGCATCTCCCTCTTTCGAAAATCCACACTCCACTTCTAATTTTGTATAATCTCAGAAGGTAGGAGGAAGTGGGCTTCGTGGAAATAATTCAGGAACGGTGGAAAGAACAAAGCTGAGCACGTATGCGGCACCGGTTGGAAAAAGATTACTTCCCTATCCCATGAGTACCAAATCTAAAACTATTGGAGGTGGTGTATATAAGTTTAAAAAATACGTAAGTGATTTGTTTCTGCTTGTAATAAATATTTGAATTGTACTATGCAAAAGCTTTGTAGAAAACGACTGTTAAGCTAAATTCTCTTCATTCCGGAAGAATTTCTTTCGCACTTTCCTCCTCCTCCCTTCCCCCCCCCCCTCCGATCCCAGTGCCATTCTGATTAAGGGCCGCATGCACTAACATTTCCGCTAGTGAGGGGATCGCTGCTTTAGAAGAAAGCTTCATATCCTGAAGCTTCGGATATCTGGATTTCACGCTGCCTACCTGTCCGTAAGTACTCCCACCATCCTTCACTATGAACATATTGAGAAGAATGGAGATGCTGTACAAGCCGCATTTCTCAGCTTTTTGTGGGATCCCCTGATGATCCCTGGGGGACGAACATCTATTTTTCAAAGTCATTTTTCTTTCTCCAAAATTAACGAAAACCTTCCAAAGTTATACTGAACATCTAACACAACAGTGCTAAGCATGTTGTTGATGAGAACAAATGAATTTATGAAAAATCGAATTTTTCGGCATACCACAAATTTCGACCTGTGGATCATCGAAAATTTCATGACTTCAAAACATCATTTGTTCTTATCAGCAACATGCTTAGCACTGCTGGGTTAGATAATCTGCACAACTCTGAAAGTTTTTCGTTAACTTCGGAGAAAGAAAAATGACTTTAAAGAAAAGCGCCGGGGATCATCAGGGATCATACTAAAGCTGGACAATGCGGTTCGTACAGCTTCTCGCTCCTCTTCAACATGTTCATAGTAAAGGGCAGTAGGAATACTTACGGATAGGTACACAACGTGAAATCCAAGTATCTGGAGTTTCGAAATATGAAGCTTTCTTTTAAGCTGCGATCCCCTCTCCGCGGCCATGTTGGTGCATGCGGCCCTAAATCTTTTTATGCATCTCTTGAAAAAGGGTACTCGTAGTTCAGCCGTGGAATATGTTCGATGTGTCTTTGCCAATAGAAAGCTTTAGAGATGGTTCCTTTTTGATTATTTTTTTGTGTTGATTTATCATCATAATTTATGAAATGAAATTCTAGCCTTATGTTCATTCCATGAGAAATGGTACTTGGAAGAATCTGCGTGCGTCAGACTTCCTCTCTTACGCACATTTCAAAAAACGGAATTTATCTGAGGATTAAATGACATTCATCAGCCTGCTGTTATCTTTCGCTATCAGTTATGTTTGCTGAGCTCAATGAGACTTTTGGGGCCTCACATCTATGACCAATGTTGTGATGCTATTTCAATACTAAGCTGTAGATTAATCATCGCAAGCCTCCACTGTTTTTATTCTTCAATGGTGTTTCTTCCATGAGAGTTTGCCTTAATGACGTTTATGGATGCATTATTACATAACTGATTGTGAGAATTGAGTGTATATGGTTAAGTTCATCACGAATCTCAAGCACTGTTAGGCCTAAGGCATACCTCGCGCGATTCCGCTCGCTGCGCGGTTTGGCACAACAGCGACTCTTCGTAATTCGTCGTGAATGCACTGTCTTTGGTTAGAACTTGCTCCATTTGCAACAACTTACACAAGCTACCCAAATATGCATCCGAGAAGCGCGCATGATAAATTTGTAGAAATCTGGCAAATCGCCAAGTCGCGTGAAAGTGGCGATTCGGCCGAATCGCGTGAGGTATGCCTTAGGCATTATGCATGTGTTACGTTTGCGACTTAGAAGCCATCTGAAAGACTGTTTTTGTTGCTGAAAAAAGCTCAAAATTGATTGCTTTCACATTTCTAATTGATTAATTTCATTCTATTCACACATTCCGCATCAGACATTCACATTTCCTGTCGCTGTATTTTTATCGGCTAGAAATCAAGAAACCGAAAAATTCCATGTTTTCACCAAAGTGATGCTGTGCTGTTCTTACACTAACAGTTGTACACTACAAGCCCTTAGCAGTACAATTGTAAATTTTTAGCTTTCTATAAGCTCCGGTTTCCGAGATTGATTTAAGCGTGAAAAATCTCCGAGTGAAGAAAGCTAAATTTGATATTTCTCGTGAACCAGAGCATATAGAGAGCCAAAAATCTACGGTAGTACTTCTAAGGGCTTGTAGTATACAACTGTTAGTGTAAGAACAGCACAGCATTACTTTGGTGGAAACAGAGAAATTTTCGATTTCTTGATTTCTAGCTGATAAAAAAATACAGCAACAGCACATATGAATGTCTGATGTGGAATGTATATGCGTGAGCGAGTTAGAGATTTGTAGGTTTTTTGAACGAAGATAATAAATATTTTCGGTTTTGTGGCCATCCGAAATTAGATTTTGGTTCAAAACTCGAGATGGATCAAAGCTTGTGCAAAAGCATAAATGCCATCTTGTAGAGCTTGCTATCGAATGGTATTTCAGATGTCTATTTAGAATAAGAAAAGTGTGACTTATTATGGCGAAAACTCAATGAAAAGACTTATGGGACAACCTAATAGAATTATCTGTTTCTTCGAATGGGTTCTGAGTTTTTAGTGACAGGAAAGAATAGGAGTACTCGCGCCCAAAGAAACCGTTATTTGAATAACTACGAAGCATTAGCTTTCCAAATCACTTTGTTTTGTGTAGTGGATTTGATGCAAAGTCATGGGAGTCGTAATCGCATTAAGTAAACGATTTGGTTCTTCTTCAAACATAATAAGTCAGAAGGCCGAGAAAAAAGAAATTCGTACCAAAATGACTACAAAGCAACGGAACTTGCTTAAAAACTTTTTCTCCAAAGTATGTAGCTTCTCTCGACTTCTAACATCTGGAGAGTTTATGGAATTCGCTTTAGTCAACCGTTTTAGTCATAGCAAAACTGTCATCAGGAACAGGGCTTGGCACTGGTGGCTTGTAAGCAAGCTGGATTTCGTTTCTGGAACAAAAAGCAAAGTGGGTATTGTTTTTGAGCCCGAAAAGACACAAAAATTTTAGAGTTTTTTTAGTCGACGTTTCGTTTTCGAGGGTTTTTTTTACGTTAAGTGTTTGGGGTCAAAGGGGACTTTGTAAAAATTCGCAAAAGTCAAAGAGGACCTCGTTTTTTTTTTCATTCTCCGAAAGCCACCTCGTGCCGAACCTTGACCATGAAGTCTTCCATATTTTTAATTGCATCTTTGTCGTAGCAGTCGCAGCAAAAATTTCAAAGAATTTATCAAGGCGGCAGCGAGTAATACGAAGCTCCAAATCATTAGTGTGTAACACCAGCTTCAAGCAACTGAAGGGCTGTTTTTTCATGCATCCAGTATTTATGGGTTCTATAAGAATTATTTGAAGAGGCTGCATTACGCTTTTCCAAGGAGTCTTCACTTGTCAGTAATCAGATTTCTTGAGAAAACAGCCGCAAGTAAGAATTACAAATCTATTTTGGAAGTTTCACCTGGTGCAATTAGGTTTCTTCTGCACGTTCTAATCTGTTCTCACGTGTTCAACAATGGTAACAAAATGTACAAAAATTAATGCAGTGGGGTTAATTTTAACAGTTATTAATTTCTCAGCAGGCATATATTTTTAAGTGTTTCTTTTGATTACGAACACTTTGTGAACAACAATAGCTTGACGACAAAATATTATATAATATTGAAGTTCTGTACTTAGAAATGGGACGTTTTTATTCTTCTCCTTGCAAATTAACGATTTAATCTGGGTTTTATTACATTATTCTCTCACATTTATTCTATCTCTCTCTCCTTTCAAAGCATTCATAAATGAAATATTTGTTTAGTGCCGCTGACCAAAATCTTAGAAGTTCGTGCTGGTTACAACACCGATAACCTTCATCGGGCTGCCAAGCATTATAGATTCCAAGAGGCTGCACCGGTGATTACGATCTTTCTTCGTTGTTTTTTTTACAAGAGAAGTTGTTTCTAGGAGGCAACATGCTTTTCCATAATTTTTACACATGCACAATTTCTGCACAAATCTGTAGACTTTGCAGCGGGTAGTAAAGAGGTAAGCTGGTTCTATTAATGCTTTTTGTTCAATTTTTTGCGCATTTTGTAATCCGCACTTCTCTTACAGAAATCTATTGGGAAGTTTCAGATAGTTTTTTATAGGACCGTGACAAATGGGTATCTGCACTCACTTACTTGGTATCGAAAGCAAAAGAGGAAAGAGCGCACTACAATGAGGAATCCTTCATAACTGAAAAGTTCCATGAGGCCGATACCAACAAAAACGGTAGGCGGCCTAGTGAGCGATAGATTCTGTGTGGAAGGGGGAGGGGGTGGCAGAAAATTCGAGCTAAACGTTTATATTGGAAAAGCTGGACAAAGCGAAAAATATCAGAACTATTACGAGTGAAAGGACCCCAATTTCAAGATTTGATTTTGTCTCACGCACAACATTTGATTGGTCCGAAAGTCCTTTCCATCTTTTTCTAGTGTAAGACACGTAGAAATTCAAGATGGCAAACATTCAAAAACTATTTGACACAACCTTTCTTCGTCTCTACATCACTCTTGTTTGAGCTACATAGTTCCTCTTGTGGTCCAAAAATAAGCCAAAATTTCCAACCCATGGTTTATAGCATGTCCAACTCTGAAAATATCTCAAATTTTTAGTTTTGGACTTTTGAATGAGCTTCGCTGACATATGGAAAGAGAAAACAAAATGCATTTTAGGGCATTTCTCTAAACTGAGCTGGCTTTTAAAGTTTACAGTTTTTTTGATGCTATCAAATTCCATATTTGGCTATCCCAGGAGCTATTTCTTCCCAACCTGTTAGGCTCCAAAAACCATCATGATTCTTGTGTTTCTTATCGTGTCCCAGACTGTGCCAGAAAATTCATAGTTCAAATGAAGCGGCAGAAGTTAACTTGCTTTGTAAAATTAGTGTTTAGTCATGCACCAATTTTGGAAGTTTCAAGTTTCGGAAATTTTATGGTGTTTGAAGTTCGTTAGATACTGAAAAACAAGTCGGAGATGCACAAATAACTCATTGTGTCACTTTATTTACTCTATCCAGCTGCTATCAACGCTCTTCCAAGACCTCATAAAAAAATTTCAGAAATTTCTCAAGTTGCATGGTGAGAAAGTTTTTTTTTTTGAAATTTCGGCTTTTAAGCATACAAGAGCAGTTAGCTCAAAGACATGTTTGCTAAAAAGAGAAAGAAAAACTGCGTTTTGAATAATGTTCAGAATATCTGCTCATTTTTATTCATTTTTTCATGTCACATCAGCAGGAAAAACATTTGGAGCTCCGTAATGTAAAAAATACCTCAAAAAATAGAAAATACTTTTTCTAATATTTAAATATATAAGGTTGTCCCAAAAGTTCTTGCGCCGGATTTTCAAGGAAACATAGCTTTCTTTCTTCTCAACGATTTTTCTCAAGTCTATTTTCGTATGAAAGAGGAAACCTTTCTCTTTATAGAGGTACCTTTGCCATGAATCAGCGTTGGTAAGTTCGAGAGTTAAAAGCAATTGAAGGAAATTAGTCAAGATCGACATTTTTCAAGCTGGATCACAAAAAATTCTGGAAGTATTTTTATTTGATAGAGAAAATTTTGCACATTACATTGGTACCTTTCTCGTGAATTAAAACGAAATAGATCGAGAGTTAGAAGCAAATAAAGAGAATTTCTTCAGTTTTGCAATTTTTGATCATGCTCAAAAAACTTTAAAAACGTCACAGAAAAGGCGAAAAAATCATAAGCATGGGTTTTGTGACCTTCCCTTCGTAGCTGAGCAAAAATCGCGCCAATCGGGAGCAATTTTCATTTTCGTGAAAAAAGCAGGCCCGAAAATTTGAATAAATCACGAAAATCAAAATTGCTCCCGATTGGCAAGATTTTCGCTCAGCTGGAAAGGGAAGGTCACAAAACCCATGCTTATGATTTTTTCGCCTTTTCTGTGACGTTGTCAAAGTTTTTTGAGCATGATCAAAAATTGCAAAACTGAAGAAATTCTCTTTATTTGTTTCTAATTCTCGATCTACTTCGTTTTAATTCATGAGAAAGGTACCACTGTAATGTGCAAAATTTTCCCTATCAAATAAAAATACCTTCAAAATTTTTCGTGATCCAGCTTGAAAAATGCCGATCTTGACTGATTTTATTCAATAGCTTCTAGCTTTGGAACTTTCTTACGCCGCTTCACAACAAAGGAACAATGGGAAAGAGAAAGGTTTCTTCTTTCAAATGAAATTAAAATCAAGAAAATCCATCGAGTGGCAAGGAAGATATGATTTTTTGAAAATCCGGCGCAAGAACTTTTGGGACAACCTAATATATACAAAAATACGAAACTATCGGAACAATTGCTCTTAAACCTTCAGCCACGTCCACAAAAGGTTTTCTTTGAAGCTTTTACTGTTGTTTAGTTTAAAATAATTTTTTTTTGAATTGGTAGATGATATTCTAAAAGTCAGAAATCGATAGAATGTCTCACTCACACTATCACATAGATTGTGCATCATTTTAGGATTTCTGAGCTTCAAAGAGGTCTGGGTGCTTCTCAAAAAAATGAACCTACATTTCAGTGAAGAATATGCGAAAGCCATGTTTAAGGTACAAACAATATTGTTTAAAATTTGCGTGGTCGTTTACCGTGTGTATAGGATTCCGAAGCAAAAACTACGCGTGATGGTGTTCTGGACGAGGCTGAGTTCGTCAACTTCTTCAACAGACTAACGGACAGACCAGAACTGAATCACCTGCTACGGATGGCAAGTGCCGATGGAGTAGAAAGCCTCACACCTAGCGATTTGCAAAGATTTCTTACTGAGGAGCAAGATGTGGGTGAACAGGAAGTGTTACAAATAGATTTCAAATAATTTCATTTCAATTTTTTATCTTTGCCTTTGTGGGTGGACGCGTTTGCAGTTAAATTTCAGATAATTTCACATTTTCAATTTCTGTTTTTTTCTCATTTTTATTTTTTTGCAGATTTTACAGTCTTTTGCCGTATTTAGCCAAAATTTTCATAGAAAAAATTGCTGCAACCTCCAAGCAGCAATAATTTTTTTTTCAACAAAGAGAGTGATGTTAACCAGGGCCGCCAAAAAAATTCTAGGAAATTCCTTGAAAATTCAATTGTGCAGGATAAGGAAATATAAGAATGTGAGTTGGCCCTATATTCTGGAATTTTTTTTTGGAAAAGGTACATTTTGCAGTGTACCTTTCTCGATAAAGAGAGATTTATTATATTAGGTTGATTTGAAAGTTCTATCGCTTTGATTTTGAAAAATTCCTATCTGCTCTCAATGTGAACGTAACGACTTACAAAATAGAAATATTCATCTACTTTCTAACAAAATCTTTGAGGCTCTTTGACAACATGACTCCGGAGAAATTCAGAAAGGGGGACGAAATTGCCGTCTCTTGCATTTTTCTGCATTCACGGAAATCTTTTTTATAGAGAAGCGCGATCAGCACAAATTTGACACCATTAGAAGGAGCTGCTTACAAAACTTTTGAAAAACATGCTCTCAGATTTTTCTGCAGCATTTCAGATTTTTGACGATTTATTTTCGAATATCGGGATTTTGAGTTGTTCTCCTTTTCCAGTTTCTATCTTAGCCAACTGTTTTCAGAGAAAGGCGAAGAGTTAGAAAGATGTGAACTTTTCTATCTGGTGGTATTATTTGTAAGTCAGTATCCACTTAGGGAGCAGTTACAAATTTTTCAACATCAAAGCGACAGAACTTTTGAATCAACCTAATACTTTAGTTTTTGCTACAGACAAAACAAGTCATGCATTATCCAGCTCTTTGATCATTTTTGAAAATTTGCGACTTCTGGGAAGGAAAGAGGGAGAAGGGGCGGAGAACAGATAACTAATGCATTCGCTGCTAACCGAGTATTTTTGCATGTCGCAATTGATCGTTTACAATGTGGTCTGTTCCAAAATTAAGCACTTGAATGACAAAAAAATATTGTAAAAACAGTCACAGATGTGAAATCGGCTTGTAAACAAGTTGCAAGGGAGTAAAAATATTTTGTCTTTATTTTCACTACAGCAACGAAATTATCATGTTATGAGACGCTTACACACATTACAGTCCTCAAAAAACATACATTATTCCCTCCGTTTCAGTTCCATGACATCGATATCAAAAAGGCAGAGTCAATCCTAGAAACGTTTGAACAAGTACTTCAAGACAAAACACAGGAAAAAGTCATGGGAATCATCGGTCAGTTCTAGCCAAAATTTTTGTACTCTGTAGTTTTTACTTACTGTTTCTGGAATCATGCGAGAGTCCAACAATTCAAATTTTTCAGGACTTCGCCGCTTGCTTCATTCAAGATGGGGGAACATACTGAAAGAAGGTCATGAAGCTGTATGGCAAAATATGGACCATCCACTTCCGCATTACTTCTGTAACTCTAGCCATAATACCTATCTGGCTGGATTGCAATTGAAGGGCGAAGCTACGGTAGAGGGATACATCTACGCTTTGAGGAGAGGAGCTCGTCTGCTAGAATGTTTGTTTCTTTCTTACATTCATTTGGTAATTAGTAATTATTTAGTACGATGGGGAATTCTTTTTATGTGACATTTTCGTCCAAATCTAGCATTTCAAAGAGTTCTTTTTCCTTTTTTTTCAAATCAGCGCTGTGCCTTGGTTAAGTTCTTGAGTTTCTACAAGGTTTGCCGAAAGCCGTTCTGAACAAAATTTTCGTATTCCAATTCAATATCATAGGCGTATCGGACTCACAACATTGTTAAATGCGGAAGCAAGTACCAAAAGCGAGAAAGACGCTCTAGAATTAAAGAGAATCCTGCCTAGTTGGATAACCCCGCCTACTTGAGTAGCTGCCTGCTTGGTCAGTTCCGCCCATTCACAAGTAATCTACTAAAGCGGAAAGCAAAGCGGAGATATCAGTCTGCAACACATTTCACGGGTTGAAAGATGATCGCAGCGCGTCACAGCAACATTGGAATTTGTCCAAGCACTTCCACAATGGGAAAGGCTCCATTTCTGGAACGTTCAACTTAGAGCGTATATTTGGGTACGACCGAAACTAGAAGGGACTAAATGCTATAGAAATTGAAATTTTGGACTTCGCCTGTTGTTCATTTTGTACAATTTTATTTTAGTGGATCTCTTCGATGGCGCTCATGGGGAGCCGGTAATCACGCACAAGCGAACACTGATTGATCCCATCACTTTGAGAAATGCTCTCGAAGCCATCAAGGTATGTCAGTTGCTTAGATTTACGAGTAGTTCTGGACCAACCACCATTTAGCGATGCGCTTTCGAAACTTCTCCATATCCAGTCATACTCACACTAGAGAACCATGTCGGCTTGGTACAGCAACGGGTTATGGTTGATGTTTTCCAGGAGGTGAGTAACTCCGCCGAATTCTGCTAAAAATTAAAGGGAAACTGGAGAAAAATCTTCAGATCTTTCTGTAATAGAAAAAAAGGGAGAAGTGTTAATATCAAGAATGTTGCACCAAAAGTTCTGCCCTTGTAAAATGGTAAAGAGTTCTGATGTAAATGACAATGTTACTATGACCATTTGCGAAGTTCAGAGCCCGGTTTAGGTTCTTGGCGATCTCCTCTATCTTCCACATCCGAGATCATCACAAATTGATTTGCCCAGTCCAAATGCCCTCAAGAAGAAAATTCTGTTGAGAGGCAAGAAACTAGGAGAAAGCGGCAATGTACCCGATGACGTGGATGAAGAGGATGTCCCCACAAAAGATAAGGTATGGGCTATATAACCACTCTGTATGAGGGAAAAATTCCAAAAGTGACCCATTTATTTTGACTTTCAGGGCCCAAAAACCGTTCCACTCGACCCAGACTTTTCTGCGTTGATCGCCATTCCATCCGTGAAATTGTCACACAACATCTATGGAGACATTCAAACACGTTAGTTCACCATGAATCGCAAAATTCTAATAATTGCGAGGTTTTCCTAGCATTTGAGTTTTTCTAGATGTAACGTTGCTAACTCAGTGCTTTCGGCAATGTCTGCGCATATAGGGGTGCTATAAGATTTGTAACAGATTTCTGACATGGGCTCCCAGCGAAGCTGAATTTGAGTGCTACCGCTAATTTTGACGAGAAAATACTGCAGAACTCACACTAGCCCCTCACTTTGTTCGTCGAAGCGAGAGAAGCGTGTCAGGACGCGCGTCAGCCAATGGTCGCGCAGCAGCGAAGCGGATAAGGTGCTGCTACGATTGGCTGTTGCGCATTATATCATGCCGCTTTTTTCGGTGAGGAGCTAAACTAATAAGTTGAGCGGTGGCGGTTTCTGAGCTTCTGAAGCAATTTGCATAGCAAACACAGTATCATTCCAGAAATATTAGGTTGTCCCACAATTAATGCACGTTTTATGAATTTCAGCTTCTAATCAAGATAACTCTTTTCCCAAACCATCTTTTTGAGCGCAATAAAAATTACTGCAAACAACAAACCTTTGACTATAGAACGCATACTTTTCTTTGATCGCAGCCACTTTAAGAAAGATTCTATAGTCTAAAAAATTCCCGAACTTTTTTTTTAGAAACATGCTCAGAGAGAGCTTAACTTTCAAATCTACTAGGATCGCGCGGACTTTGCTCATTATTTAGCCGATTCCGTTGTGCAGTGGAGTGAAGTTTGAATTTTACCGCATATTTCTGTGAGAAAAATTTGCACAAAAACTGGAAGTACCCATTTTTTCAGTATTTTGGAAGATCCAAAAAACTGCCTTTTTGGGATTTTTTGAATTTTTCTCTTCGAAAAGACGATAAAATGCTGCGTTTATTCTAGCATTAGTTGTACTAGGTCTTCTCTACGTGTACATAGCGCAATTTATACAGTCGCTTTTAGCTTGAGATTTTTATGCAGCAAAGATGGGCCTCAGCGACCAGCCAAATTTGAGACAAGATTTCTCAGCTTTGATTTTTTCAGAAATCTCATACTGACAAACAGTTTGTAGCACAAAGCTTCGCGATCGTTACGCATATTTTTTGTAGAAAATCCGTCTACTTTTCATAGATTTAGAGCAAGGAGAGTGAAGGGAAAGAATTTCAAATTTTAATCACTTGTCTTTGAAGGCATGAAGCTTCGGCTCCAACAAAGATTTGCGAAAACGAAAGCACATGTTAGAAACTAGAGGAATAGGGCTTTCCGAGCGTATAAAGGGTTCTGAAGAAAACTGTTTTTTCTTTGACAATCAGCTCTCTCAAAAAGAGGTTAGAAAAACGTGCATTAATCAACAACCTAATATTACAAAGGAGCCTACTTTTCTAATTTTCCGGAAACCCAACCCAATCTTTAATCGATTCGATACGCCTTTAACGCTGCTTATTACTTCTTCTCATAAAGTTAGCGTTTGGTTGTACTCTTCTGAAAAGCTGAAGGGAAAGAATTAGTAGACACCAGTGGAAGCTACCTGCTCACGACTGGATTTCCAGTGCCACTGAGCATAGGCAAAAAAATATTTCGAGAAATTGAAGATTTTTTCTTTTTAAAGAAATGCTCTTGCAAGTACATGTTTCATTCACGTAATACTTCAAACCTTGTTTAGATCCTAAAGACGGGTCTCCTTCACTTTCTGAAGGCAAAGTTGAATCACTCTATAATGGAGGAAGTCCCATTTTTTCCTACACTGCCACGCGGTTTGTGAAGAGCTATCCAAAGGCGAGTTAACTCTTCCATATATAAGAATTCTGTACATAAGAAAATTAACTCAGCTAGTGCTCTCATATTCGGTCATCATACAGAAAAGGCTTTTTTTTATTTCCCACATATTTCGTCACATAAGCTTCACTAAACTGCAAATAGCGTACAGTCTGTGTCAACGATGTGCTCCCTTTCCGACTAGCTCAAACGCAACGCGAGCCCCTTGCCGCGTTCGCGAGCGTATTGCTGGAGGGACCCGTCATACTTCCCCGAGGAAAGCCCAAAAGCGCCCAAAAGAGCTCAAAAAAGCCGGAAAAAGCCGAGACGTCTCTTCCGTTTTGACGCTAAGGCATGTGTACTGATTTTGCAACCGAGTCTTTGCTTCATTTCATGCCTTCTGCACATCAAAATAATGTCAGAATCCTATTAGAGTTTCGTTTCTACGTTGCTGCGTTCCAGCTCTTTCCGGCTTTTTCAGGCTTTTTCGGGCTTTTTTTAGCCTTTTTGAACGCTTTTGGGCTTTTCTCGGCGAAGAATGGCCGCCCAATGCCCACGCGCTGCGTATGCGTGGTTGCCACGGAAAAGGGAACACGTGGTTAACACAAACTATATGTACTCTTATTTATTACGTTTTTCTTTATGTAGTGTGACTAGTTAGTATATGTTCACTCACTCTTTCTTTATTTGTTTTTTTGGCGCACCTCGAGTGTAATATTAGGTTGGTTCATATGTAATTAATGCACGTTTTTTATACTTCAACCTTCAACCGAGATAATTCTTTTTTGAAAAGATAATAAGAATTACTGTAACCATCAAATCAGTGGCTATGAAACAGATACATTTGGTGACTGTATCTACCACATGAAAGATTTTCCGGCCTGAAGATTGCCAACAACTTTTTTCAGAAGCCTCCTTTGAGAGAGCATAACTTATGTTGAAATGAAGTAGGATAAAGCAGACTTCGCTCTTCGTGTAGCCAAGGGTCTCTTGAGCAGTATTGTTAAGTTTGGATGTAACGGAAATTTTTTGAAAGAAAATATCGCGAGAAAGTCGAAGTACTCACTTTTTTCTGGCATCTCGGCGGGTTCAAAAACCGGTCATTTTTGAAATTATTTCATTTTTCTCCGCTGAAAAGTGAGAAAACCCTAGCGCTTTTCTACCATCAAATGAACTAGGTGTACCTTTGCTGGATAGTGCAAAAGACCTGCATCGCCTTTTGCTTCAAAGTTTTATATGACACGGAAGGGCCGCGACGATCATTCAAGTTCGCAATTGAATTTCTCGGCTCAAAGTTCATGGAGAATTTTGTTCAAATAGCATCTCATAGCACAAAGTTTTCTAATCCTTATGCATATTTTTTTAATCCGGCCATTGCTCATGGATTTAGGGCAAAAAGAGTGAAAAGCAAAAGTTCTGGGATTTAGTCTCTTTTATTCAAAGGCTCATAACTTTGGAATGAACGGAGATTAACGAAAGCGAAGGGCCACATAAGAAACCAGAAAAACGCTCTTTTGGATGGCGTAAAAAGTTTTCGAGGAAATTGATTACACATCAAATACCAGCTCCTGAAAGAAGAGGTGAGAAAAACATGCATTAATTATGAATCAACCTAATAGATAAACATAAATATACCATGATGCTTTACCTGCTTGGTTTGAAAAGGAGAATTAGCCTGCATCCAGTAGAGTGTAATTCAAGAACAGACGCTAAAATGCTGAGGCTTCTTTCACAACGACAATTTTAGGGACTTCGTCAAGATTCCTCGAACATGCATCCCTTCACTTCATGGTTGTGCGGTATTCAAAGCGTTGCCATGAATATGCAAACTGCTGGAGAGGTAGGTTTCCTGAAAATCTCATTTGAAATTAACTCCCATGTTCTTTTTCTAGGAACTTGACTTGAACGATGGCTTGTTCCGAATAAATGGGAACTGCGGCTACGTACTAAAACCGGAGATACTCCTGAAAGGAATTGGTGGGCATATTCAACGTTCAATGAAAACGTCGAACAACTCATAATATTTTCAGACCCACGAAGTGAAGCTGCCGTCATCAAGCCTAGAGTGAGATTAGAAATTGCAATAGTTAGCGCGCAGTATTTGCCCAAGTCCGCTCCTGGAAAGGACATTGTTGACCCATACGTCACAATTCAAATTTTCGGAGTGGACAAAGACACATGGAAGGCTAAAACAACACACATAAAGGATAACGGTAAGTTCAGAGGTTTGATCTAGCAAATCTGCGTTGTTGTAGTGTCCCTGCAGTGTCGATAGCATTTTGGCCTAAATGATTATGGAGCGCGGACCTTTACTTTCTTCCTCGTTTTACTCGTGCAAATGTTGTCTTCACCGTAAGGACACTGCAACAGCAATTCTACCGCGTCATATTCAAAAATCATAACTTTTGAATTTTCCAATCAATTTGGTTGCTTTTATTTTTGTTTCAAGGAACCAATCATGCTCTTCATGAAAATATTAGGTTGTCCCGAAAGTTTTGTCGGTTTATTTCATCGCTCACTAAAACTCACAGAGCAGAAATCCATGGACGGTTCAAGTATCATTCAATTTGTATTTTTATCCTCTTTCTTACAGCTATATTTGCTCTCTGATCTACTCTGTCTTTGCGGTGTTATCATCACGGCTTTTCGAGCAGCTTTACAGTATTGTCAAACCCTTCCTGAATTTTTGAAAATTTTTATTTCGATATTTCTAAAGAGCGCTGGTATCTGTTACGTAGAGCAAACCTTTGGCTACATCGTGCATATTTTGGATTACATGAGGCGCATTTAGTAAGTCCGTAATAATAATTTATTTGAGAAAAACCAAGGCATTTTGATTACGTTTAACACGTGAAAGTACCGAAAACTCCAAAAAGTGATTTTTCAAAGCAGATCAAACTTGGATAGGTTGCATAAATAATGTTTAATAACAAACAAAAACCAATTCGCAAAAATTCTAAAAGCTTCCATGTTTTTGCTGCAGTTGTGCGTTTCATGACTTTGCCAAAAATCGAGACATTGGAAAAAATGATTTTTTTACGCTAAAAACAGAAGATTAGAAGAATCGATAAACATTACCATGTAGTCCGAGAATTGCTTTATCTGCTACATACTTAAGCGTTTCGAAAACTTTGAAATGGAATTTGTGAAAATTAGCCAAACTTTGAGCAGATAAAAATGACGGGTGAAAAATTTTAGCAGTTATCAGAAAAAGAATGCAGGATTATGGCAAAAAGATGTAATCAAGAAAGAGAAGGAAAAGCTGCATCGATTGCATGTTGAAACTCATTCAGGTCTTTATTGTGCGTGGTTTTATAGCGATTTGAAAAAACCGACAAAACTTTCGGGACAACCTAATATCTTAGCGACTTTCTGTTGAACACAGATTATCCAAGTTTTGATTTTTTTTTTGTATTTGGTTAGAAGTCTAGTACTTGTATAAAAATCGGAGGAAGTGGTATTATAGGTTTTATTATCTGCTCTTACTAACTGAACACAGTTCGTACTGATTGAGCTCCCCCATCAAAAATCATGATTTCGAGAGCAGCAAAAACAGCAAATTTGATTTTTTGACATCTCTTCGAAAATCGCAACTATTCGCAGACATTTTTAATCAGCACAAATTCTCCCCAAATAGGAAAAAGCAGCTAAGAGAACCTATAAAACCAAATGCCCCAATTTTTACTGTAAGTTTCTGATTTTTTACTACCAGAGATAGAAAAATCAGAGTATTAGTAATTTTCTCTACCGCTTCTCTCTGTGCAATGTATGCTAAAAAAGCTAACAGTGAGATACTGTTATAGCAGTGGCGGACCGAGAGGGGGCGCCCCCTCCCCCCACCCCCCCCCCCCCCGAGAACGGCTCGCGAAATTTTGAAATTTACTTAGATGAGTTATAAAAATGTGCAAATGACTTGTTTAATTTTGTAAACAATTTACATAATTTTTAAAATTTCCTAAAAATTCAAATTAGCCTTATGCAAAATTTTTTTCCGGGGCGTTAGGGACCCCGCAACAATTTTGAGAAGCACCTCAAAAATTTTTCCAGAGTGCGTGGCGTTAGCCACGCACCTTCACTTGAAAAAAAATTTTTGCCGCCCCCCTCTGGTCCGAAATCCCGGGACCGCCGCTGTGTTATAGTGAACATGTTCTGCCCTTGTGACTAAAATAAAAGCAAGCATATCGGTTGAAAAAGCACAATTTGAGAATCTTTTATGGTACGAACGAACTTTTGGGACGACCTATATTCCATATCATCCTTTTTCAGGGTTCAATCCGGTGTGGAACCAGTCTTTCAAAAAGGATCTATGTTTCCCAGAACTGGCGATTTTACGTTTCTGCGTCAAAGATTATGATTCTACCACACAGCATGATTTTATTGGAGAATTTTCAATTCCTGTTACCAGCGTGAGAAGAGGTACTCATCACAGATTATTGAGTTTTTCTGCGTTGTGCATAAAGATTCAGCTTGGAAAAAATCGCTATGAGGAGTCAGCGACCTAGAATTTTTGCTACAAACTTCGTGAGAGGATGCATATTCCTTTAACGATTTTTTGCAAAGTTTTAGCATCTGAGACTTAGACCCTTTACCGTACAGCTACCGTAACCCTATCAAATAGGAGGAGAGGTACTGCGATGCTGAATACTGCTTACTGAACAGAGAATATCATCACAAGTCAAATAACCTTTTTTACGAAATTATAGTAAAATTTGGAACTGAATTGCTGGGCGGTAATCAAGAACTCTCGATTGCAAGAGATGATTGGGAGCTGTTTTACCATTATAAGCGAAGAACTCGATTGGTCGAGAGATGCCTGATTTTGAAAGTCAACCGCTAACGCCCAATCGGGAATCTAGAAGACGCCCAATCGAGCGCGCGTTATGACAGTACTGCGCCGCCTGCTCATCACCTCATCATTGCCCGATGAGTTTGATAAATCACGTCAATGGTTGAGTGCTAATACCAGCAAAGCTTTTTTCCCTTCTACCATTCACAACGAATTCTAGTAAATTTCTGTTTTCAGGATACTCCCAGATACGCTTGAATACTGGCAGCCAACACACACCTGATGACTCTGCCTCCCTTCTTGTTCGAATTGCCCTAGATCCATTGTCATAAAAGACACAGCATTTTCTGCAGCTCTGTGAAGCTTGTTCTAATTGTATTCATAAGTTTACGTTGTACTTTCGATATGCTCCAGTTGTTTCACTTGTCTTAGTGTAGCATGCATTTGCACAGCAGTTTCATACATTTTCTATGAATAAAATCGTGTATAATTTGCGGGCATAGATTATGTCAGTTGCATAAACATTTTCAGCGTAGTCTTGGTTTACAGATTTGCTTGAATTTCCAGTCGGTTAATGTTGAAATTATTCGCCATCATGATTGATTCCATATGGAACCTAGACACTCATGGTCTATGTCCCAGCTTCAGTACCACAGCTAGTAGAGTTGACTGCACGAAATCGCCCGGGTCGCTATAGGCTGAACGCACGCGAGCGTACTTGCAACGCGGCTGCCGATTATCGGCACTATGATTCATGCGCGCGAATGCCAATGTTAGTCTGCAAGAGACACGCTCGCGCGCGTTCAGCTTGGGCAATTCCGTGCAGTTAACTATACCACCGCTTCGCACGCCTTTCGCTCTTTGCGCTATCTTTTGCGCCCCATCATCAGATGCTAAAGAAATTCTCGTACTTGGGCGCAGGTGCTCCCCACTTCTTGGCAACTTGCGTCTGTCAGAGAAATCCATTTGCACTTTTACATGTCGGTGGTGCAACGGAATCGATTCTTCACCTGTTTAATGCACAGCATGCATATCGCCTCAAATTCCAAATTTCGATCACCAGCAACTATACATTCTCCGAAGATTTTATACGATACATCTTAATTTCCGAGGTTTACCCAGCGAATATGTCGCGTACCGGGAAGCGTAGGCAGTACGCGGCTTCACTTTCTTTTTGTTTGAATTTTACACTACGCTACCATCCCAATCCAACAACAACGCAGTGCAAATCTGAATCCGAGATCTTGGTAATTGCTCACCCCAAAAAATACATGCTGGGCCGCTTAGTAAATAAACCAGCCAGTGCGGCATTCATTCACACGCTTATTTATTAAGCATGAACGGATTTCTGTTTAGACATGTGAAAAAATGAGATGATATTTCAACATATTGTACTCATTTCCAGGTAGACTATATTTGAGCTGTGATGATTTCTGCATGAAATCGGTTAAACACGTACATGTCCTTGTTATTCTAAGAGTTCCTGTTTAGTTGTTTTTTATATCAATTGAGATAATAGACCTAGAATGCCTGGTATAGCTTCTGCGTGTAAAATATCAATTTTATTATATCACGTTGATGCAACAGTTCGCTTATCATTTTTTTGAAAAGTCTTAACTTCTTGCTCTCTCAACGGGTTTGCACAAACTTAGTTTTGCTAGATAGGGGAAACATTTTTCTTTGTGAAAGTGCCTTTGCCGCTTTCTGATCTTATATATTTTATATAAAGCTGAATGTCTGTATGTATCATCGGCTCCACGATTCGTGTAGAGGCGAGGTTTTGCCAACTCAAAGCGTGGCGGTTTTTGATAGCGAGAGAGTACAAAAAACAATGCTATGACGTGGAGGTTTAAGAAGTTTACTTGTGTTATCAGGTAAAGTCTGCAGTACACCTCTACACGAATCGTGGAGACGATCATATGTATGTCTGTATGTCTGTGTGTACGTACGTGCGGAATAGAAATATTTATTTCTGAACCGATTTGGACCAAACTTGGCACACATACACTTCGGGGCGGGGAGCGTATCATCGGCTACTACTTTTCGTTATCGATCGATATCGATTTTATCGATTTTTTGCAAAATTTGAGCTACGGGGCTGGGAGTTGGCGCAGGGGGGTAATCGAGCATGCTGATTACAAATATGTTATTGACAGGGCTGGGCGGAGCCGGGTTTGCCAACTAGTAACTAATAATTCTAATAACTTTTGAGATGGAAGCAGGAAAATAAAATCGCTTCAACTTCGGCTATTTTAAGTTAAGCTGCTAAAAATCTGAAACCTGCGATAAAATTCCCAGGAAGCAGTAAAGTAAATCTTTTGATGCACCTTTTCAAATGATTTTTGTTGAGCAATACAAAACGACAGATCTGATTTTTTTTGGCATTTTTGTGTGAAAATCATAACTCTTCATAGAAAGCTGATTTTATACAGTATTTTCATCGCAAGATCCAGATTTTTGGCAGCCTAACCCAAAATGAACGAAATTGAAATTCTCCTGCTCCCATCTTAAAAGTTATTAGAGAGTGACAAAGGCATTACGCAAGGAAAAGGGTTTCCTATATTTAGCAAAATTAAGCTTATGCAAGTTCGCTGAGAGAGCAAGAAATTATGACTTTTTAAAATGATGAGCAAGAACTTTTGCATCAACCTAAAATAATTTTGTCTAAGTTCTGAGTACGACAATTTCTACTAGCATATTCACTTATTTCACACAAACGGAGATGCATCCAACACAAAGTGCAATAAGGAAAAACATAGACGTTCTCTGAGGGCTGCCACTAAATATAGCGTGGCGACGCGCCGCAGGAAGTGGTCCAGCATAGCAAAGAGGTGATTGTACATGCTACCGTAATCAAATGCGAATACGCGGCAACCAGCACTTGGCTTGTTTCCTTGCTTCAAAGGCAGCGTTCAGGCACCTGTCCCCAGTACCGTACTTAGCGGGCGACTTACCTGGACTTCCACGGTTTGGCGCGGACCCAGCACGTGGGCGGTGGATCCGCGCGCAATGACAAGCAACCCGAGGCAAGTCATCCCCCAAATACGGTATCGGAGTTTGGTTTGGGGGCGATTATCTCAGCCAAATGTGCACCATCGGCGTTGCCGTTTGGGCAGTTTCTTAGTTGAACGTCCAGGATCAATTTCCAGGTGCGATCCCCATATGTCCAGATTTGCCTGGACGCTGCCCTTAAGCAGCCACATGTGTATCTCGCGAACTGCGACATTCACTACTATTTATTTATTTATTTATTTCAAAGCACTCAAAGGCAAAAGAACAGAAAAATGCAAAAATGCAGCAGATAAGATTTTCAACCGACCACACAAACGGTAGAATGATGGAAGGCCAAGTCATGTATATGTGTAAGTTGCTGCAGGAAGTAGGCGCACTATCTTTGCGCGCGAACGCGTCTCATTAGCCGCAAGGTGCAGGGGCGCAGGATTTACAACGGCGAGGATCGCGCGCGCAGCGTCCGCTCCCGTTCAACTAGTACTGGTTCTGCGCCTTCCTCACGCAGCGGCGCGGCCTTCATGTATGTATCTATCAGTAGCGCACCGAGAGATCCCTCCCCCCGAGAATGAGTCGCGAAATTTTTGAAATTTACTTACATGGGTTACAAAAATGTGCAAGTGACTTGTTTATTCTTGTAAATAATTGAAATAATTTTAAAATTCTTTAAAAAATTCAAATTAGCCTTGTAAAAAAAATTTTTCGAGGCGTGGCTAACGCCAGGCCCCTTTCTCAAGATTTTAGGGGTTACGGACGCGCAAAAATTTTGAGCATCCCAAAAAAATTTTCGGAGTGCCATTGTGCCAAGCACCTTCATTTAAAAAAAATTTTTGCCGCCCCCCCGGTCCAAAATCCTGGGGCCGCCAGTGGTATGTATGTATGTGCCCATGAAGTAATTCCACCCACACGCATAGCGTGATGGGATACATAGACTCAACTTTCCAAAATAACTTCTCAGAACCGCGGAAATCAAGAAAACAAGAAAAAGAGAACGAAAACTCATAGACTTACGAAAAAAGTCAGTATTGCTATCTCGAAAGAGCCAGTGCCGAGGTCGTATGTGTCGTGTTGAACGAGGACAGAAGAGTGGGACGGGATTTTTTCCTAAAAAACAAGAAAAAACAAAAACAAGTTTCAGTAGTTATGAGAATGCTTTGGTTGCGATACATCGACTAACCATGATGAAATATACCAACGATCAAAGAAGGGTGCAGGAGTCAGGGTAGTGCCATTGTTGCCATATTCATATCTCGGGGTCCGGACCGGGTACTTGGCGTATGTCGTGTTCAGTTTGTCTGTGATGGTTGTTACTGTCGCTTGCGTTGAGGAGTGCGACCATGTGGCGAATATCGCGATCACATTTGGATCAGGTGCGGATCCAGTTCGGATCTTGAACAACTATGACATCACCCTCAAGTTTGCTGTGCGAGATGCCGCTGCTCTTGTAGCGGGGGTGGAACTATTATAATTACAAGTTCTGACGCGTGACTCTAACGTGGAGGAGGGGGAATTCACTGCGGTATGAATAGTTTCTTCTCAGCTTCACAACTAGCTTCTCGGATTTGTACACACTGTCATATGCTGTTGAGCACACTTGAGGTTCTTGTACTAAATAGACGCGTTCGATAAATTCTCCGAGCCCAATCAAGACGGCGTGTTGCGTGCTCTTATCGCTACTGTGCCTAATGTTCACGATCACAGTCTGGCATAATTTCCGCTCAATGTGTGTGGTTGCGACGTCGCGATTTTGCGGCCAAATTTGCGCGTGAACAACACCTACGCCTCCGATGCCAGTCAGCTGCGCGCGCAAACTGCCGACATCATTGGCTTGGCCATTTATTCACGCGCAAATTTGGCTGCAAAACTCGGCGCCAACACATTTAGTCCGTGTAAATTACGTACTTCTTTTCCTTAAGCGCAACGAGCATCGCAACTGGATCCGCGTGCATTGCTTGCGTTGCGCATGCGTAGTTCCCATGCGAAAGGGAGTACGTAGTTGACATTGACGTATATTGAGCGGAAAATCTAGTGGACTTGTGCCTTGCCGTGGTAGGACTACGCCTGTCTACTACTTTCGTCTCGTCTGCTCATTTTCTTTGACCCGTTTCTGGTAAAACGCCACTGCTTGGCGGGCATCTGTAATGCAACTGCTTAGCTTTTTTGCCAGAGTTTGTGATACCGATTGGAACCGACTCTAGCATATAGCTCAGTAAATATGGCCGGTTAATTCATCTATGGGATCGGCCATACTAATCCTGATGATTCCTGCGACACCTGCGATTCCTGCGACTCCTGTGATTCCCCACAGTTCTATGATGCCCGCACGGTTTAGGCGCCGCTTAAACGAGCGCATTCTGCGTTTGTCATTTGGTGCCGCGTAAGGCAAAATCGAATGATTCAGTATATTGCTGTGAACGTGTTTTTTTCTAATTGTAGGCATATTCACACCTCGTAATTAATATGAAGATGTTTTAGAGGTGTTAACGAACGATACACTTCTTTCAGATCTTGCGTTTCACCGAAAACAAGTGTTGCCTTTACTACATTTACACGTCGTGATTTGCATAACAATTTAAGTCGTGATGTTTGCTCTCTCTACATTTACAACTTTATGTCTGATTTGCATTACAACTTTGAGTCGAGATGTTAGCTCTCTTTACATACAACTTCATGTCGTGATTTGCATTACAACTCTAAGTCGTGATGTTAGCTCTCACTACATTTACAACTTCATGTCGTGATTTGCATTACAACTCTAAGTCGTGATGTTAGCTCTCTCTACATTTACAACTTCATGTCGTGATTTGCATTACAACTTTGAGTCGCGATGTTAGCTCTGCCTACATTTACAACTTCATGTCGTGATTTGCATTACAACTTTGAGTCGCGATGTTAGCTCTGCCTACATTTACAACTTCATGTCGTGATTTGCATTACAACTTTGAGTCGCGATGTTAGCTCTGCCTACATTTACAACTTCATGTCGTGATTTGCATTACAACTTTGAGTCGCGATGTTAGCTCTGCCTACATTTACAACTTCATGTCGTGATTTGCATTACAACTTTGAGTCGCGATGTTAGCTCTGCCTACATTTACAACTTCATGTCGTGATTTGCATTACAACTTTAAGTGATTCCTTATCTCAAAGTTCTGTTTTGCAGGCAGGAATGAACATCAGGGAACACATTGCGATTTTAGTGGAAAAGCATCCGAGCCTATGGTTGCCATCGCATGATGACTATCACGATAAGGACGTACGCGCAGCCACATGGAATAAAATTGTCGATTTGTTGCTTGAACGTGGTATTGCGGCTGATTGTAAGTTGATAGATACTTTTTTCTTCAGCTTTATCAAGATTCGTTTCAGTAGATGATGTGAAAGCGAAATGGAAGGCCATGCGCAGTGGCTACATGAAGTGCCGTAAAGGAAAATCAGGACAAGCAGCCACCCGCACAGGAATTTTCAGATATCTGACATTTCTGGATCAAGCTGAAGTGGACGCGTACGTCTCTCCAACGCCACTGATTCTGAAGATGAAGTTTGCTGTATTTCAGGCCGCGACTTTCGAATTTAAATCTGAGCGATGAGGAGCACGTGAACGACGAAAACGGTAGAGCTCTTCTGCTGCTCTTCTTACACAATACATCGGAACTGTTTCAGATTTTCCATCGACTAGTTCTCAACACGAATCAACGAACCGAAAGAGACCCGCTGAAGAAATCGAGATACCGCTACTTGGACAGCCTTCTGAAAAGAGAAAGATTACCCCGAAAAGATCCCGAATGGTTGACATGTGTGATGAAGGTAAGATACTTCTCCACTCATTCTTCAACACTATGCTCGGTTTCAGATAGAGTTGCTCTGCGCGATGCGATAAACACAGTTAAAGAAATGGTGGAGGCGGTCAAAAAGAATGACAAATACGATACGTTTGGTGAGTTTCCAGGCACAACTGATCGAGCTATTCGGTGTTTTCAGGTGTTTTCGTGGCTCAAAATCTGAGAGATATGGGCGATGCGAAAGCGCAAGAGAAGATACATGTCATAGTAACGTCTCTGGTGACAGAAGTTAGACATGTCATTACACCGGAGGAGTTTCGCCAGTGCGTGGAAGAGGCATATCGATCTAAGAGCAGTCTCCCAATCCAAGTAGTCAAGCACTACGAAGACAATGTAAGAGAACCATCTCCCGAAGAATGATTTTGAGTGCATTTTCTTTGTTTACTTTTCATTTTCGTTATCAGTAGTTTGTTTACTTTTCATTTTTTTTGTTACCAGTACCATTAGCAGTTCCACACTTTGAGAAGCATTCGATTGACTCTTTAGCAAGATTCTTAGTTCTTGGATCTCGGTGAAGTACGGTTGTTACGGTTGATACGATACGGTTTGATACGATACGGTTCACATTTTTTCAAAGATTTTGTACAGTTTTGGATTTCAAGAAGAAGTAAAAGTTTATCGTGATTATACACATCAGTTCGTATAAATGGCACGTGAGTATCTGTTGAGAACTATTTAGGAACGAAAACACTGTAGGCAAGCAGATGTATTTACAGACCGAAGTTCGGCTTCTTACAAGATATACTCGAAAACACTTACTGATGATGGGGAAAAGCGGCAATATAAAAGACAGCTAAGGCGGAAGTAAGGCTTTCTCCCAGGGTTAAGACAATACCCAAGTCTCATCTTTCATGACCGTATAAATCAACGTAGTATTGTGTTATAAGATCTCTCGCAGCACCGCCTGTTGGTAGGAGATCCGTGTTCCTCAGTGGATGGTACGCGTTTTGTGCAGGTCTAAATCTCTCCACTTCTGCCAAGCTGTCCTGTCTTCGGGGAAGCATGTTGTGAAGGATCTATAGCCATTGCTCAATAACTCAATGTCAGGAATCGGTTCAATAGTCAACTGGACTAACCATGAGGGAAACAACCAGCCGCTTTGCTCGCTCTGGAGTCAAGGTCATCCGCGTCATCAAAATTTGGAAACGCTGGGCCAGCAAACCAAAGGTGGATTCTATCATATGCCGAGCTCTAAATGCTATTCCTCCACATCCTCATGTCAGATAGGTGATAAGTTACCCGCTTAATTGTCGGTTGAATCGCCTTCTATCTCCTGTAGTCGTTTCGGGCTCTCTATACGGTCGGATAAATCGCGGCCCTTGAGCGAAGCCGCCGTCCACCAGGAAATGATATTGGACAGGGCCCACTCTCCCAAGCCCTCTCGTGGGAGGAAAAACGTCATCGTGACGTTCCAGCCATCTCTGAATTCCCGAATCAAACTCCGTATTTTCTCATTAGCGAACCAAACCTTGATAGCGGAATTCCGAAACACGCCAGCATCACCACGGCGACCAGGAGCTCCAACGTCGTACGCCATAAAGCGATAATCACAATCGCATATTGCCAGGAGAATGATCGAGTGGTAATGCTTGTAGTTCCAGTAATACTTCCAGAGCGGGCGGGCTTCTAAACACACACTGTCGTTGTATACATCTTGCATAAGCACTGAGAACCTGGATATTTATGTGCTTGCCGTCCATGAACCCCACTGCCCTGGGGTAGTCAAACCGTGCCTGTGTCTTTCTGGCTACTTCCTCTAGTCTCGCACGTGTTAGAGGTGGAAAAGCAACATTATGCAGAACTGAATCACGATTGGTGGTAATGTATATAGCTAGCGTTCTGCTTATACCCCTTATGATGGCTTCTGCCACTTCCTCTACCACATTCGATACTGTTGTTTTCCCCATTCCTATGTCCAAAGCATAAGCGGTGAAAGTCCTCCTCTGCGTTACAAATCTGAAGGGACAATGCATGTTATTAGCGGTTTAGTTCACGTTATCAGTTCCCCAAGCTTTCACCTGAGGTAGATCATCAGTCTGTGACGGCCGGTTACTGGACCAAGATGGGTACGAGGATGCTCTAACCCACTTCCTATTCTTTCGTAAAGGTCCTCAAATTCATCAGGCAAGAGCTTGATGAATTCGAGAAAACCCTCAGGCCTCCTCGTAACCAGGTATTCGTCAAAAATGCGGAAGCGAGTTTCAATGAATCGAATGTGCTCTTGCCGCACATACTGCCGCCTCTGCCGCGGAGATATCTGGCCTGCAGTAGGCTCGCTCATAGCGTACAAGAACTCCAAACTTCCCAAAAGATTCGATAATGATTCGTAGCTCATTCTGCAACATACAATGTAATTGAAGGATGACTATGCTACACTACAAAGTTACGAACGCGATGCATGCACATGTCACTGCAGTTCGCCCCCTCCTCCGACATCAAGGTATTCTCCGAAATAAAGCTCAAATACACTGGGAGCAAATTATCTATTCACATTTCGTAACAGCTGAAAAGGAGTCTGCTAAAACCCTAGAAGAGATGGCGCAGACAAAAAGACAGGTTCTCTGATGAAAAAGATCCTAGGTTAGTCAAAGCTGTAATTGTATTCCTTCCATTTATGGCCGAAGAACTAACACTGTTGAAGCAAGGCGAGGTGTGATGTTAGCAAAAGCGAAAAAAATGTTTCCTCACATGATACAGACAAAAAAAGTAGCAAAATCTTCATTCAGAATTTCATCATCGCAAACTCTTTCGACTATTCTGAACAAAAGTAATGCCGCCATGAGAATATCTACATCATTCATCACATTGTTATCTTTATTCAATCAATCCAAAAATCACTGTTGAAGAAACGGGGTTTGCTTATCAAGCAAAAGGTCTACGGTGGCAAAGAACCACCACGAGTTACGGCGACTTCCCCTCGATACTTCGGGCAGTCAGATAGTTGACAGCAAAAATGTTCAGTGCTAAAGGAACTCGCGTTGATAAATGATAAGATAGTAGATTGCAGTACAAACTTACATTGTCATAAGTAGAGAATCATTTTGGATTGTCCCATGCTAAGTTGCTTGTTATGCGACCACAGATTTCTCCGTCCTTGAACATAAACCCACTCTGTCTTTCTAATACGAACCTATAAGTGAATACTACACGGCTTGCTTATGAGTATCGAGTAGGAAATATATCCAAGAAACGTCACAAGAATAAAAAAGCAAGTAACATACCAGCACACTACTCCTTGAAGTGATCCAGCCAGCTATTTGTCTGAAGCAAGTGAGAATAATGAGGCGATTCCCTAAATATTAAATCTCTTATTCTGAGTACTAGCCACACTACAGCAGGTGTAAGAACAGATACTTTGCACAACAATTCAGTCATCCTTAACTTGAAAATGAAGTGACCTAATGTTTATAGTGTTCTCGGTGGATCTAGAAAATAGCATCGTTGGATCTCAGTAAGTCCGCCAAGCATGAGCAAATGAAAGTTTGGTGACGGGAGAAAGATATTTGCTTTGAACTTGATTTCAATCATATACTCTCAGAAACACAAAGAACATGCGCAATTAGTTCAAGACTAGCTTACCTGGGCATTGAGCAAGCATCGCTTCCAATTATGCTCTTCTGCGCACGGTTGTTCTTCGCTACTAGGCTGAAAATAGAAGAGCTAACTGGGATACCAGCCCACCTCCATGTTTATACAGGTAAAAGGTAAATAAAAGCATGAGAAGCGTTTCTACACACGATGGCATATGAAAGATAGCGGAATCGGGAAAGTCACGAAAAGAGTTCCGTCAACACAACCCTGCATCATTTCGCCATGAGAACAAGATGCATTCCCACAGAGTTCCTTGTGACGGAGAAAACAAAAAACACAGCATTCACAAAATTTGGACATACCTGGTGCTGAGCATTCAACAACATTCACTGCATGCACGCTGGCGACATAAGTAATGTAGTAAAGGCAACACTTGTTTTCGGTGAAACGCAAGATCTGAAAGAAGTGTATCGTTCGTTAACACCTCTAAAACATCTTCATATTAATTACGAGGTGTGAATATGCCTACAATTAGAAAAAAACACGTTCACAGCAATATACTGAATCATTCGATTTTGCCTTACGCGGCACCAAATGACAAACGCAGAATGCGCTCGTTTAAGCGGCGCCTAAACCGTGCGGGCATCATAGAACTGTGGGGAATCACAGGAGTCGCAGGAATCGCAGGTGTCGCAGGAATCATCAGGATTAGTATGGCCGATCCCTATCTGTTCTTACACCTGCTGTAGTGTGGCTAGTACTCAGAATAAGAGATTTAATATTTAGGGAATCGCCTCATTATTCTCACTTGCTTCAGACAAATAGCTGGCTGGATCACTTCAAGGAGTAGTGTGCTGGTATGTTACTTGCTTTTTTATTCTTGTGACGTTTCTTGGATATATTTCCTACTCGATACTCATAAGCAAGCCGTGTAGTATTCACTTATAGGTTCGTATTAGAAAGACAGAGTGGGTTTATGTTCAAGGACGGAGAAATCTGTGGTCGCATAACAAGCAACTTAGCATGGGACAATCCAAAATGATTCTCTACTTATGACAATGTAAGTTTGTACTGCAATCTACTATCTTATCATTTATCAACGCGAGTTCCTTTAGCACTGAACATTTTTGCTGTCAACTATCTGACTGCCCGAAGTATCGAGGGGAAGTCGCCGTAACTCGTGGTGGTTCTTTGCCACCGTAGACCTTTTGCTTGATAAGCAAACCCCGTTTCTTCAACAGTGATTTTTGGATTGATTGAATAAAGATAACAATGTGATGAATGATGTAGATATTCTCATGGCGGCATTACTTTTGTTCAGAATAGTCGAAAGAGTTTGCGATGATGAAATTCTGAATGAAGATTTTGCTACTTTTTTTGTCTGTATCATGTGAGGAAACATTTTTTTCGCTTTTGCTAACATCACACCTCGCCTTGCTTCAACAGTGTTAGTTCTTCGGCCATAAATGGAAGGAATACAATTACAGCTTTGACTAACCTAGGATCTTTTTCATCAGAGAACCTGTCTTTTTGTCTGCGCCATCTCTTCTAGGGTTTTAGCAGACTCCTTTTCAGCTGTTACGAAATGTGAATAGATAATTTGCTCCCAGTGTATTTGAGCTTTATTTCGGAGAATACCTTGATGTCGGAGGAGGGGGCGAACTGCAGTGACATGTGCATGCATCGCGTTCGTAACTTTGTAGTGTAGCATAGTCATCCTTCAATTACATTGTATGTTGCAGAATGAGCTACGAATCATTATCGAATCTTTTGGGAAGTTTGGAGTTCTTGTACGCTATGAGCGAGCCTACTGCAGGCCAGATATCTCCGCGGCAGAGGCGGCAGTATGTGCGGCAAGAGCACATTCGATTCATTGAAACTCGCTTCCGCATTTTTGACGAATACCTGGTTACGAGGAGGCCTGAGGGTTTTCTCGAATTCATCAAGCTCTTGCCTGATGAATTTGAGGACCTTTACGAAAGAATAGGAAGTGGGTTAGAGCATCCTCGTACCCATCTTGGTCCAGTAACCGGCCGTCACAGACTGATGATCTACCTCAGGTGAAAGCTTGGGGAACTGATAACGTGAACTAAACCGCTAATAACATGCATTGTCCCTTCAGATTTGTAACGCAGAGGAGGACTTTCACCGCTTATGCTTTGGACATAGGAATGGGGAAAACAACAGTATCGAATGTGGTAGAGGAAGTGGCAGAAGCCATCATAAGGGGTATAAGCAGAACGCTAGCTATATACATTACCACCAATCGTGATTCAGTTCTGCATAATGTTGCTTTTCCACCTCTAACACGTGCGAGACTAGAGGAAGTAGCCAGAAAGACACAGGCACGGTTTGACTACCCCAGGGCAGTGGGGTTCATGGACGGCAAGCACATAAATATCCAGGTTCTCAGTGCTTATGCAAGATGTATACAACGACAGTGTGTGTTTAGAAGCCCGCCCGCTCTGGAAGTATTACTGGAACTACAAGCATTACCACTCGATCATTCTCCTGGCAATATGCGATTGTGATTATCGCTTTATGGCGTACGACGTTGGAGCTCCTGGTCGCCGTGGTGATGCTGGCGTGTTTCGGAATTCCGCTATCAAGGTTTGGTTCGCTAATGAGAAAATACGGAGTTTGATTCGGGAATTCAGAGATGGCTGGAACGTCACGATGACGTTTTTCCTCCCACGAGAGGGCTTGGGAGAGTGGGCCCTGTCCAATATCATTTCCTGGTGGACGGCGGCTTCGCTCAAGGGCCGCGATTTATCCGACCGTATAGAGAGCCCGAAACGACTACAGGAGATAGAAGGCGATTCAACCGACAATTAAGCGGGTAACTTATCACCTATCTGACATGAGGATGTGGAGGAATAGCATTTAGAGCTCGGCATATGATAGAATCCACCTTTGGTTTGCTGGCCCAGCGTTTCCAAATTTTGATGACGCGGATGACCTTGACTCCAGAGCGAGCAAAGCGGCTGGTTGTTTCCCTCATGGTTAGTCCAGTTGACTATTGAACCGATTCCTGACATTGAGTTATTGAGCAATGGCTATAGATCCTTCACAACATGCTTCCCCGAAGACAGGACAGCTTGGCAGAAGTGGAGAGATTTAGACCTGCACAAAACGCGTACCATCCACTGAGGAACACGGATCTCCTACCAACAGGCGGTGCTGCGAGAGATCTTATAACACAATACTACGTTGATTTATACGGTCATGAAAGATGAGACTTGGGTATTGTCTTAACCCTGGGAGAAAGCCTTACTTCCGCCTTAGCTGTCTTTTATATTGCCGCTTTTCCCCATCATCAGTAAGTGTTTTCGAGTATATCTTGTAAGAAGCCGAACTTCGGTCTGTAAATACATCTGCTTGCCTACAGTGTTTTCGTTCCTAAATAGTTCTCAACAGATACTCACGTGCCATTTATACGAACTGATGTGTATAATCACGATAAACTTTTACTTCTTCTTGAAATCCAAAACTGTACAAAATCTTTGAAAAAATGTGAACCGTATCGTATCAAACCGTATCGTATCAACCGTAACAACCGTACTTCACCGAGATCCAAGAACTAAGAATCTTGCTAAAGAGTCAATCGAATGCTTCTCAAAGTGTGGAACTGCTAATGGTACTGGTAACAAAAAAAATGAAAAGTAAACAAACTACTGATAACGAAAATGAAAAGTAAACAAAGAAAATGCACTCAAAATCATTCTTCGGGAGATGGTTCTCTTACATTGTCTTCGTAGTGCTTGACTACTTGGATTGGGAGACTGCTCTTAGATCGATATGCCTCTTCCACGCACTGGCGAAACTCCTCCGGTGTAATGACATGTCTAACTTCTGTCACCAGAGACGTTACTATGACATGTATCTTCTCTTGCGCTTTCGCATCGCCCATATCTCTCAGATTTTGAGCCACGAAAACACCTGAAAACACCGAATAGCTCGATCAGTTGTGCCTGGAAACTCACCAAACGTATCGTATTTGTCATTCTTTTTGACCGCCTCCACCATTTCTTTAACTGTGTTTATCGCATCGCGCAGAGCAACTCTATCTGAAACCGAGCATAGTGTTGAAGAATGAGTGGAGAAGTATCTTACCTTCATCACACATGTCAACCATTCGGGATCTTTTCGGGGTAATCTTTCTCTTTTCAGAAGGCTGTCCAAGTAGCGGTATCTCGATTTCTTCAGCGGGTCTCTTTCGGTTCGTTGATTCGTGTTGAGAACTAGTCGATGGAAAATCTGAAACAGTTCCGATGTATTGTGTAAGAAGAGCAGCAGAAGAGCTCTACCGTTTTCGTCGTTCACGTGCTCCTCATCGCTCAGATTTAAATTCGAAAGTCGCGGCCTGAAATACAGCAAACTTCATCTTCAGAATCAGTGGCGTTGGAGAGACGTACGCGTCCACTTCAGCTTGATCCAGAAATGTCAGATATCTGAAAATTCCTGTGCGGGTGGCTGCTTGTCCTGATTTTCCTTTACGGCACTTCATGTAGCCACTGCGCATGGCCTTCCATTTCGCTTTCACATCATCTACTGAAACGAATCTTGATAAAGCTGAAGAAAAAAGTATCTATCAACTTACAATCAGCCGCAATACCACGTTCAAGCAACAAATCGACAATTTTATTCCATGTGGCTGCGCGTACGTCCTTATCGTGATAGTCATCATGCGATGGCAACCATAGGCTCGGATGCTTTTCCACTAAAATCGCAATGTGTTCCCTGATGTTCATTCCTGCCTGCAAAACAGAACTTTGAGATAAGGAATCACTTAAAGTTGTAATGCAAATCACGACATGAAGTTGTAAATGTAGGCAGAGCTAACATCGCGACTCAAAGTTGTAATGCAAATCACGACATGAAGTTGTAAATGTAGGCAGAGCTAACATCGCGACTCAAAGTTGTAATGCAAATCACGACATGAAGTTGTAAATGTAGGCAGAGCTAACATCGCGACTCAAAGTTGTAATGCAAATCACGACATGAAGTTGTAAATGTAGGCAGAGCTAACATCGCGACTCAAAGTTGTAATGCAAATCACGACATGAAGTTGTAAATGTAGAGAGAGCTAACATCACGACTTAGAGTTGTAATGCAAATCACGACATGAAGTTGTAAATGTAGAGAGAGCTAACATCACGACTTAGAGTTGTAATGCAAATCACGACATGAAGTTGTATGTAAAGAGAGCTAACATCTCGACTCAAAGTTGTAATGCAAATCAGACATAAAGTTGTAAATGTAGAGAGAGCAAACATCACGACTTAAATTGTTATGCAAATCACGACGTGTAAATGTAGTAAAGGCAACACTTGTTTTCGGTGAAACGCAAGATCTGAAAGAAGTGTATCGTTCGTTAACACCTCTAAAACATCTTCATATTAATTACGAGGTGTGAATATGCCTACAATTAGAAAAAAACACGTTCACAGCAATATACTGAATCATTCGATTTTGCCTTACGCGGCACCAAATGACAAACGCAGAATGCGCTCGTTTAAGCGGCGCCTAAACCGTGCGGGCATCATAGAACTGTGGGGAATCACAGGAGTCGCAGGAATCGCAGGTGTCGCAGGAATCATCAGGATTAGTATGGCCGATCCCATACTTTGCACAACAATTCAGTCATCCTTAACTTGAAAATGAAGTGACCTAATGTTTATAGTGTTCTCGGTGGATCTAGAAAATAGCATCGTTGGATCTCAGTAAGTCCGCCAAGCATGAGCAAATGAAAGTTTGGTGACGGGAGAAAGATATTTGCTTTGAACTTGATTTCAATCATATACTCTCAGAAACACAAAGAACATGCGCAATTAGTTCAAGACTAGCTTACCTGGGCATTGAGCAAGCATCGCTTCCAATTATGCTCTTCTGCGCACGGTTGTTCTTCGCTACTAGGCTGAAAATAGAAGAGCTAACTGGGATACCAGCCCACCTCCATGTTTATACAGGTAAAAGGTAAATAAAAGCATGAGAAGCGTTTCTACACACGATGGCATATGAAAGATAGCGGAATCGGGAAAGTCACGAAAAGAGTTCCGTCAACACAACCCTGCATCATTTCGCCATGAGAACAAGATGCATTCCCACAGAGTTCCTTGTGACGGAGAAAACAAAAAACACAGCATTCACAAAATTTGGACATACCTGGTGCTGAGCATTCAACAACATTCACTGCATGCACGCTGGCGACATAAGTAATGTAGTAAAGGCAACACTTGTTTTCGGTGAAACGCAAGATCTGAAAGAAGTGTATCGTTCGTTAACACCTCTAAAACATCTTCATATTAATTACGAGGTGTGAATATGCCTACAATTAGAAAAAAACACGTTCACAGCAATATACTGAATCATTCGATTTTGCCTTACGCGGCACCAAATGACAAACGCAGAATGCGCTCGTTTAAGCGGCGCCTAAACCGTGCGGGCATCATAGAACTGTGGGGAATCACAGGAGTCGCAGGAATCGCAGGTGTCGCAGGAATCATCAGGATTAGTATGGCCGATCCCTATGTGTTTATGATAACATGCGCGCATTAGAAATGACGCTGGAGCGCATAAAAATGTGCATTTGTTACGCGCGAATGTTGTCAACACTGCAGTGCACCAAATTTGCCGTGATCCGCAGATCCAGCGATGCCTTGGATTCTCCAAGCTGAATTTCATTCACGCAGAGTTTTGCGAATTTCGGTCTCACAGGAAAATGAGTGCATGCACACCTTGACGACCGGGTGGGGGAACGAAAGCCGCCAGGGAACGCGGTGCCCGCGTGCAAACTCGTACATATTCTGCAATGTCGACGCGCCTTTGCACTAGTCGCCGCAAATTGCACGCCAAATAATGCCCATTCGCATTTCTTCTCATTTCTCACTCTTTTTGGACTTTTCTCATCATCTTTGGCATCATGCTACCCTTTTTCTTTGTCATTTGTGTATGGTATCTAGTCTAATTCCTTTCTTTGTGATCTTTACGCTTTCTTGTGCAGAATTAACGCTTTTGCACACTTGCCGTTACGATTGCTGTAGATTGCTGTCACCTCACCACAAAATTGCATATGTTTTTGCAAAGGATGTGTACTTTTTGATTTCATACTCGGTTTGAGTGAACCACAGAGTTAGTCATTTAGGTCGTTTTTCTGTCTGCCTTGTTTACGGGTTACGGGTATGAAAATAAGCGTTTGGAATGCGGTTCTATTGGGAATCGCCTTTCTTGCCGCGTCTGCTACCCTCAACTGGTTGTCATGAACTCATCAGTCAGCAAATTGCTCCGCAATTCTGATGTGGGATTGAGGTAAGTTCTCTTTCTTCATAAATTCCTGTATGATGGGCAATCACCTTTGTGGTTGGCTGCTCAATTTCGTCTTTCCTTTGTGTTTTTTTCTTCATTTTTTTTTGGCGGTCGGGCAGGAGGCAGCAAAGGCCTGCCGCTTCTGCTTATGGAAGTACCTGAGGAGCTTCAGAGTCCCTCGCGCTCCTAATTACTACTTCGCACCTCTTAGTATCTATTTGATATGAACTATGCCCGATTATTCGACTTCAAGTGTGATAGATTGCGAAATATAGGTTTTATGTTACATATTCAAAGCAAATGAAATAGTAAGTTTTAGAAAGGTTTATAGAATAAGCCTAATTCAAACAAGGACGGTCTATCAGAATTTTTGGTTTGATATGGAAGTATGACTTGGTAACTGAATCTTTGAGCCGGAATGTTGAGCTTTTCTTGTAACTTTTTCGCCATGATAATTCCGATCGAAAAAAAGGACTTAAAAGACTGATAGCCACGTTCTTCATTTTGGGGCATCTTATTCCTTTCTAGTAAACGATTTTGGAAGAAAATGCTCTGAAACCGATATTCTATAGGCGGAAACCGATTATGGCTGGGATTGAAAGAAATTACAAGATTTCGAACTTGATTTGAAGTTTTTGTTTGATTTCCTTGCTTGTAAAGTAGTCAGAGGTGCGATAATGATTAGAGGCGCGAGGAAAGGAGCTCCTTAGGCACTTCCAGAAGCAAATGCGGCCAACCTTTGCTGCCTCCTGCCTGACGTCCATTTTTTTGAAATTTTGCACTTCAAGCTAGCTCAAATATTGATTTTAGAGTTTTACAAAAGAAGTTGCGCCGGGGAACTGAACGCTGGTATGTGGCACCACAATACTGACATTTGGAATTGCCGCCGATTTGAGGCAAGAAGACTTACCGTCAAACAGATACTATCGTTTTGGAAATTTCTCTCATATTTTCTCTGATTTTTTCGTCATTTTAATATTTTCTATATCGTTGTTATACAGTCATCGTCAATCACGTGCTCCGTTTTCCGGCCACGCCAGGGCTTCGCGCGCGTGTGGCTTGAGCTTTCTCGAAGAGGCCTTATCGATCGGAAGTCACGGAAGGCCCTCGTGTTGCGCGCGCGTATTTTCTACGCGAAAGGGAGTACGTGATTGACACATACCGTATATGACGAGGTTTCTGGGACATTCTGGAACTATGTGGAGTCACAACGAGTTGCGACCTGTTTCGAAAGAGCTAACTTGGGATTCCTTGCACTTTCAATCTCCTTCCATTGTTTTATAGGGGTTCACTTCCGTCCTCACTGCTGTAGGGTATTTCTTGGTGACGTTGTAATTTCAAAGAAGAAGTTCTATATAGAAATGCAACTTTGAACTATCAGATCATTAAGAATTTGGGTCCTTCTCACATACAAGGAAGTCATGATTTTGCAATTTTAAACAGTGAATCAATTCGCGGCAATGATGTCCACTTCTACAAGTGCACTTTCAGGTCATGCTGCATGTTTTTGGAATGGACAACACTGTGGCTACATTAGTAGGTGCTATCGACACACTATGGATAATGGCTCGGAGTTGGATCCTCAACACCGTCGACTTTTCGTAAGCAGCGGTAGTTCACTGAAATCATTTGTTTAAACTTGCAAAGCTGATTCAGAGAGGTGACGTATCTCTGTTCGAGACAAATATACGTTTTATCGGTTGGCTTCTGTCGTTATATGCACTGATGAACGATAAAGTAGGTGTCTACTCGCCATCCTCTGACTCTATTGCTTCTGTAGGGCTTACATAGCGCAGGCTGAAGCAAGCGGGAAGATGCTGTTACCTTATTTCGACATGGTGGTTGCTCAATCCTTTCTGAGTTTGGTTCACTTCCGCTTGAATCTGAGTCCTAATAAACGTTACGGAAATAAGGTTTGTTTTTGTTGCTTTTCATCTCTGTGCTTGCACTTACGTGGATAACTTTTTGAAGGCTGGAAAAAAGGAACTTACTCACTTCATGGATAAGCCGGACTTTACTCCTTCATCTCAATTCTAGGACTGATCAATGGAGTTTATGTAAGTTTTACTCGATATGATCTATTTGCTTTAGTTGATCCCGTTTTTCTTTTACAGCCACCCCAACGGGTGATAGCTTTTATGAATGTTTGCTTAAACATTGGCTGATAACTGGCAGAAAGGATGAACTCAACAAGAGAGTACGATGCAGCTGTTTTGCTATGGAAAAGAACAAGCTATGGTCAACGCTCTCCTTTTTTCTTAACACGACATTTTCTGATTTTATTTAAGGACTTTGCAAACATTCGAGGAAAGAGTGGAAGATGGAGCGCCTTGCCTGTTTTTCTGGTGGATTATTTGCTCTCTTGTCTGCAGTGAGAAGAATGCTACAGTAGCTGTAAACGTCCGAAAATTGTACGTCATTCATGATTGTATTTTCATTTATTAGAATTTTTACCTTGATTGTCCTTTCTTGCTTGTTCTTTATGCATTTACTTTCTTGTTCTTTCTGCGTTTACTTTTTCTATGAACTTTATGTGATGTAGATGATAAAAGTTTAAAATGCTTTATCTGTTACAAATCTCGCCATATTTTTACAATATGTTTCGGCCTCTTCCCTGGTCACACCACGAGCCCTATACTGATCTTCGAACCTGTAAGGGAGTTGTGAATTAGTTAGTTTAGTTGGCTTGTGGGACGCGTACGTTCTCATCGCTGCAGCTATCTCATCTCGTCGTTGGAGGGCTTCGTGGCTAATCTCCTTCTGGTGGTCGGGGTGCTAAAAAAGAACTTAGCTGATGAGCGGATGGATGTTTGGTACTACTTAATGATAATATGTTTACCATCTCAAGGGAGTTCAGCGTAGCTCTGCACTCCGCCTCTAACGTATGGAACGTGTCGATGACTTCCGACAGCACCGGGAAGTCATCCAGCAAAACGGTCAGTCGCCTTAAAAGGGTTTATATCAGACCGTAAGGAGTTCCCTTATGACCCTCTAACCGGTGAAAGGCTTCTGCTATGTTTGTGGTCCTTACATCGTATATGCCGGACTTATCCCAAAGGCTGGCCAGGGGACCCTTATACCAAGTTTTACCTAGGTAATTCAAAAAATTAGTACAGCACGCATAGGCTGGATGCTCGCGCGGAACAGGCGGCTCCTTTAATGCGCGGACAACACCATGCAGACGCCTTGGCAAAAAAACTAGGCCTTTGATGGTGTTCCACCAGCCAACGACGTCTGCTGTGGTGTCTTTACCAGATATAAAACGAGTGAGCCCGAACGCATTTCGCCGCCTGTTCCACGCTAGCGCAAGATGGAATGCACAGCCCTGGACTGCACTCCTCTCAAAGACGGTGCGGATGGCGGCAATCGCAGCTTTTTCGTAGTCCACGACTACTTGCAGTCCATCGACAGCACCAAACCTAAGCAGGTGGGTCTTCAGGTGTGAAAGTACTGTTTCGTAAGACTGCTTATCTTTCTTCTCCATGATGGCGTAGAGAAGGGGGACGTCGAACCCGCCGCGGCAGACTCCATGAATAACATAGAGCTGCGAGCCTTTCTTGATGCATCGCGGGGCTTTGCTGTGTACGCCGTCCGCCACCAGCACCGACAACCCATTCTTGCAAGCTTTCTAAAACATCAAGGGTCCGAACTGGTTTGATTGGCAAGCATTGACGGCACCTCGACCGATGCATCAGATATGTAGACGTGCATTCCGCGCTCTTTAACTTGCAGGAATGGACTTCCATCCGACAAATTTGCTAGATAGCTGGGGACGCTATCCATGGTAACGGCGTCAGTGTGACCGCTACCGCAAGCCCTGCAACATTTCCATTGTCTACTGCGTGTAGTTAGCTGTATTTTTCCCACATACTTTCTGATTGCGCGTTTTTTGTGCGAATACCCCTCTCCGCGAAATTCATCCACCACGTGCGCTCGCAAGTCTTCCTCTACAATAAGGAATAACCCTGATTAACAGAGTAAACCAAAGCTGGTTTGCACCTAGGGTGGCGTTCCGGTCTAGCTGTCTGATGGTGTTCAGCCAGTGCCTGAGAGGAGGCCTGCTGCTAGCCTTCGGGTCGTTTCGAAGGTCTTGTAGCATCTGAGAAGTCACCTTCTTCGGCTTTTAGTAGATCTGCCGCAGTTCACCTGGTAAGATGTTCTTGCCGCCATATCCTTCGCTACGGTAGATGGGACGCATACGTGGTTGAGCTGGCAGGGGTCGCTCAAGAATTTTTTATCAATGACCTGAGTTACCATTTCTTAGCTTAGGCGCGTAATTGTGTTGGCGAAGTGCTGCTCACTCGAATAGTGGTCGTTTTGTTGAGAGCTTTGCATTTTACGCATCTGTATTGGTCGTATCCTTCCTTCTTTTTTGAGAACGCAAACACATGCGCCGTATCCGTACCTGGAATTCGATACGACAAGACCTGTCCACCTTTGCGGCTTACCTGCGTTTCTCCTAGATAAAAGTTTTCGTTATTTATCCCCGAGGGTCCAGGTGCATCGTAATTCTAGAAAAAACGAAAGTTTATCCGAAACCGACGTGATTTGCTTTAGAAATCTTAAGCTTTGTCATGAAGTCGTCAATTAGGAATGTTCGAGTTCGCACTAGGTGATCGAAATTATTTCCAAAATGTAGTAAGACTTTTTCATGGCCCAACCTCGTTAGAAACTCCGCCTTGTTGTTGAATTCCGGCTACAAAAACTCATATGAAAAGGTTCCTTTGAAAATCTGTACCGTTACCACTTGGTGGGTCCGCAGGTGTGTATGTAAGTGCTCCGCTCAGCTTATCTACCTCGAGGAGAAGAGGTTGGCCTTCACTTGCACTCATTTCGCTGTAGAAATAATTTGAGATCAACTCAAACCTGAGTTAATGACTGAACGGTTAATGCTGCACAGAGACATTTGTTAGTGGAAAGCCGATAGAGAAGCAAGAATCATACTCAATACCATGCATGCAGTGTGAAAGGAAGAAGGAAATGCAATGGAAAAGATGCGTGACGCTATCACTTCAAATCACAAAGCTCATCTTATCACAAAAAAGATGAGTACTGAGTGATTCTAGTGAAAATCAGCCACGCAAGGATAGAAGACAGAAAGATAGAGGAAAGAAACATGACATCACCAAAATCATGCGATTCTTGCAGACGTAGAATTCAATGGTGTTGACAGTCCATCATAACCGCTCAGTTGTTTATGAGAACACATTCCTGTAGATGTTCATTCAAAACAAGAACATTACCCCCATTCCATATCATTCCGCAATCATTATAGCCAACTGCTATTACTGTGACCAATTAACGTTTGAAGCAGATATGGAATGGGGTAATGTTCTTGTTTTGAATGAACATCTACAGGAATGTGTTCTCATAAACAACTGAGCGGTTATGATGGACTGTCAACAACCATTGAATTCTACGTCTGCAAGAATCGCATGATTTTGGTGATGTCATGTTTCTTTCCTCTATCTTTCTGTCTTTCTATCCTTGCGTGGCTGATTTTCACTAGAATCACTCAGTACTCATCTTTTTTGTGATAAGATGAGCTTTGTGATTTGAAGTGATAGCGTCACGCATCTTTTCCATTGCATTTCCTTCTTCCTTTCACACTGCATGCATGGTATTGAGTATGATTCTTGCTTCTCTATCGGCTTTCCACTAACAAATGTCTCTGTGCAGCATTAACCGTTCAGTCATTAACTCAGGTTTGAGTTGATCTCAAATTATTTCTACAGCGAAATGAGTGCAAGTGAAGGCCAACCTCTTCTCCTCGAGGTAGATAAGCTGAGCGGAGCACTTACATACACACCTGCGGACCCACCAAGTGGTAACGGTACAGATTTTCAAAGGAACCTTTTCATATGAGTTTTTTGTAGCCGGAATTCAACAACAAGGCGGAGTTTCTAACGAGGTTGGGCCATGAAAAAGTCTTACTACATTTTGGAAATAATTTCGATCACCTAGTGCGAACTCGAACATTCCTAATTGACGACTTCATGACAAAGCTTAAGATTTCTAAAGCAAATCACGTCGGTTTCGGATAAACTTTCGTTTTTTCTAGAATTACGATGCACCTGGACCCTCGGGGATAAATAACGAAAACTTTTATCTAGGAGAAACGCAGGTAAGCCGCAAAGGTGGACAGGTCTTGTCGTATCGAATTCCAGGTACGGATACGGCGCATGTGTTTGCGTTCTCAAAAAAGAAGGAAGGATACGACCAATACAGATGCGTAAAATGCAAAGCTCTCAACAAAACGACCACTATTCGAGTGAGCAGCACTTCGCCAACACAATTACGCGCCTAAGCTAAGAAATGGTAACTCAGGTCATTGATAAAAAATTCTTGAGCGACCCCTGCCAGCTCAACCACGTATGCGTCCCATCTACCGTAGCG